GATTTCTTTCAAAAATACGTCAAAAGATCACAAATCGTATCTAGTTGAAGACATTACCCTTAAAAATTGAAAAAAATTCCCTCGTTCCCCGCAAATGGGGGAAATATCCAAAAAAATTACAAATTTAAAAATCGCTAATTTTCGAAATTTTTTCACTTTTTTTTCTTAAAACTTCCATAACTTTTTGAAAAATCAACAAATCAACATAATTTTTTTTTATACTAAAACCTTAAATATCTACCTTTCATTTGATATCATATTTTTAAAAATCTATCACTTAACCTGCTCATTGGGGGGGATTTAAAATGGCAACTTTTTTACAAAAATTAACTTTTTCAACTTAATTTTTGAAAATGTTCCGGAAATACTGCGTCCTTTAAACATATATCAAATTAAAGCTTATTTTATGTACTATAAAATGAAAAAAAAAAATTTGTCCCGACACCTTATCTTCTATGTGCAAATGGCTGTCGAAATTATAAAAAAAATGTAATATTTGCGATAAAAATCACCTTTTATAACGATGTTTTTTGTACTTAAAACTGCCATAACTTTTTCAAATATTAACTAATCAAAATAATATTTCTTTATATTGAAACCTTAGGTAATTTTCTTTCATTTGATATCATTTTTTTTTGAAAATCTAACACTTATTCTGCTCACAGGGGGGATTTAAAATAGCAACTTTTTTACAAAAACTAACTTTTTCAACTGAATTTTTGAAAATGTTCCGGAAATACTGCGTCCTTTAAACATATATCAAATTAAAGCTTATTTCATGTACTATAAAAAAAAAAAAAAAAATTTGTCCCGACGACCTATCTTCTATGCGCAAAAGGCTACAGTTTTCAAAAATATGCTATTTTAACAAATTTTTTTTTTATAAATTAAACACTATCTACAGATTTGTATCGAAGATTTTTTTATGATAGTGATTTTAATCACTGTCAGATATCATCTATACTGGACCCAACTATGCCACGACCCCACTGTGCCTCCACCCCAGTGTGCTGTTGTTTTTTTTATTCTAATATTGATAGTTATGATTTATATGATATTTTATGTTTTTTATTTTTATTTTAAGATTATTACATAAGCTCTCATCAGAAGCTTATGCTGATAGGAAAAAAAATTTGAATTATTTTTTTTTTTTTATCATATTATTTAAATAGAGATTCTAAAAAAAAATTAAGGGCGCATATATTCTTGTAGCTACTCAAGCAAAAATCTTAAATACGGCTCTGACTAGTGATATTATACCTGATGTGTGTTTTCATGTCACTGAACTTTGTAGATCTATAGTAAGTTTTCGTAACTGCCAAATAAAATTAATATAAAAAAAAATATCATTTGTATTCCAAACAGTTTATTCTATAAGAAGGGTTGTTAGTATGAATGTGTTAAAGCTTTCTTAGATGGTCGTATTGCTTGAAATGTTTATGGATGTATCCATGTTTTCAATTATGAGCTACTCATAACTAGCTACCTCATAACTGAAAATATGGATACATCCATAAACCTTTCAAGCAGGGTTATTAGTCTTTTATTGGAGAAAGGGATGGTGACTCCAATTACTGAACTGATCTTTTGTTTAACAAACAGAACAATCCATGACAAAGTGTACCAAATACTGCCATGTTACATACTTGGCCACATCATATCTGTTAAACATTTATAAATGCTTTAAATATAAACTTTATAAATAAGAGTTATAGTTATAATATTATAAATTAATGTAATAACAACAATTTTTGGTTAGCCTTAACGAAGAAATGTTAATTTTGAGTTTAAATATGCTCAACAATCATCTATTTTTTGCTCGAGTATCCGGTCATAAATTTTCCAAACTTTTGGGTAATGAAACTAGCCAATTGAGAACACTTTTATTGAAGTAAATATCTATATTTATACTAATAATACCTTTGGGTCATTCCATATATAATTAACAAGATGAAAAGACAATGGGTCTTTTAATTTTGATAATAACATTTTTTACCATTTTTATAGATTTAATTATAATATAATTAATTTCAAAACGTAGAAAAAACAATACGGTCATTTTTAAAAAAAATTTATTCATATTGAATAAAAAACTTTATTACGATGTAACCTATTAGCTATTTTTGTTTTAAAACATAATTAAGTCTATAGAAATGTTAAAAATATGTTGATCAAAATTAAAACATCTAAGGTTAAAAATAAAGAAATTTTTTGATTATATATGAAATGATCCCTTTATAATCTAAATTATTATTATTATATATAACTTCTACAGACTTGTAGATTTACAAGTAAAAGAAGTTGTAGAAAAAAGTTTAATGGATTGTTTATCAACTGGTGCTTCGCTGCTATTGCCTCCTTTATCTGGTCGTCTTAATATACTTAAATCACTTCTTGCTCAAGAAACACATTTAACTAAAGGACAAGTAATATTGTGAAATATATAATTTATTTATACAATTTAAAACTTAATAAATGTTTACATTTTTTTTAGAAACTTCTTTTAGATGTTACTGTGTCGAGTTTAAATGATAATAGCCACATAAGTGCATTATTTCATATAAATTCAATAGATTTGTATGAAAACCGTTATTCATCAATTGAAGAAGTTATGAAACTACTTTTAAAACATTTAACTGATAGCACTGTAAGTTATAATTTTATCATAGTTTAGCTGTTTAAATAAATTTTAATTTCGAATTAAATACTGTGTTTTTAGATTACTTTATTACATTCAAATAATTTTACTTCTTTCAAGAAGGAAAACAAACTGGACACAACTCTTTCTTCCTTACATAAATTGTTGTTATCACATTTATTAGCTTACAACTTGAAGTCTTACCATTCTAGCAATGTATAGTATTAACAATTTTATTTTTATTTCTTAACTGTTATGTTTCATTAAATGATAGTTATCTGTTTAGTTTAGTTTTTTTCTTACACATACATTTATAAAATATTCTAATATAAAATCATCAAATAGGTACTTTAAATTTTTTTACTTTTTGTTAATCGATTTATTGTTTATTAATTTCTTTTCACAATTTACCTTGACATTTTTTATGTTTATACCAAAATAAATTTAAAAATATTCTAAATTTTTAGCCAAAAATTTTTAATATATTTAAATATAATATTTTCTGTAGAATTATATTGAAAAAAATTAATTTGTCGTTAAATAGTATAGAATTGTCAATTTTATTTTGTCTCTTCCGTAAAATTTGTTTTTTTTTTTTTATTATTTATACAAAATAAACTATATAAGGTTATGTATTCTATTTAATTATACAATTTTTTTTAGTTCTGTCTAAGTATGAACCGCCTTTTAATAAATCATTTAGAATCATATTTGATGTTTGCTAATAAATTATTTTCTGAAGCTGCAATATCTTATAAAAGTGGATTCCATCTATTTTATGAAGGTATATATTTAAATCTATAATCTAATGTTTTTAATTGTTAACATATTGGATGGATGAGTGGAGTGACTAGAAAAGATAGGAATAGACATATAAGAGGGAGTATAGGTATAGCGTCAATTGTGTATAAATTGAGAGAAAATAGACTTAGATTGTTTAGTCATGTTATGAGGAGAGAAGAATCGGAAGCTGTAAGAACAGTTATAAAAATATATGTTGAAGGAAGAAGAGATAGAGGAAGACCAAAAAAGAGATGGAGATATGTAATTGAATGCGATATGAGGACAGTTAATTTGAGTGTAGATGATGTGTGAGATCGTGGCAAGTAGAAGTTTAAAATAAGGGTGGCCGATCTCAAATAATTAGGATTAAGACGACGAAAAAGAAGAAGAAGAATTGTGAACATATTAAATTTTACAATGTTTTATTTCAATGTCTAATTATATTATTTTTTAGCTATTTTGGGACAATCAATTGTTGGAGAAACTATGATAAATACTATAAATTCCTTAACTTTTATTCAAAGTGATCATGTTCAATCAATTCTAACAACATTAACTAATACTGTCCAATCATTACATGAGTTAAACCAAAAAATGTGTTATGATAGTGAGTAAATATTGTTAGTATATTTTATCTTTTTTAAAACTTTCTCTATTTTAAGTTTCAGATCCTGAAAAATCGAATGATACATTGTGGTTTATTGAATTAGAATCATCTTTTTGTTTACTTATTGGTCGTCTAATATCACAATCTATAATTAGTTCACCATTATGCCTATCAGAAATATCAAATGAACATTGGTTAAAAAATAAATTATTTTCATCTGGTATTGAAAAATTAGATGACAACAGTATATTTGGTAATAAAATAAATATTCTTCTAGTACTAAAACTGTAAATTATATAATTATTTCTGTTATATCTATTAGTGATCATAACTTAAAATCTAATAAAAAAATTGAATAATTCATGAGTTATGACTAAAAGATTTACCAAAAAAAGTTTTTTTTAGTTTTTAGTATCAGCTTCTAGTTACTTTAAAAGTTTTTGACATCTTTCATCTTTTATGTAGCAAATTTTTTGTATTCCATTTTTAGACTAAATGCGAAGCTAAAAAGATATTAATTTTACCATGATTAATTTTCTTTGTGTCTGTTATTACTTTTTTCGGCTCTTACTGGATTTTACTTTACAATATATCAAAAGATCAAAAACTGTATCTGGTTAAAGACCCCTAAAATTTAAAAATTAAATATTCCTTGTTTTCCTTAAATGCTAAAAATCATTCAATAATTCTTTCTTTTACAAAATAATAATAATAATAATAATATTTTAAAAAGGGGATTGATCTTTCAAAAAAAAAACTAATATATAATAATAACTAATAATATTAGCTAACAATGGGTTATGATAAATTACAATTTTTATTTTATTCTAACTGAAATTATAATTAGCTGACAAAAGATACAATAATTAAACTCTCTGTAATATTTATTTGTTAATATATTAGAAAAATAATATATTTATACAGAAATAGTCAAGTATATTTGTTGTTGTTCAATTGACTATTTTTTTTATAAGGATAGGACCAAAAAATAGCTATTTTTAAATTAAAAAAAATAATAAAAAACACTTAATAAATAAATAATTGATAAATAATAAAAAAAATATGCTTCAATTATAGTTAAATTACTATTTTTATTTTGTTTTTATTTCTCTTGAAAAGCTTCTCTTTGAATAAATGTGAATAGAATTTAAGAAGGTTCTATAATTTTTTGTTATTTTAAAGCCTTTCAAAATTTAAACATAAATTTTAGAAATATGTATAATTTTACTATTCACGGAGAATTTTTAACATTTATAGAAAAATCTAGACTACGTCAGTCTTACTAGTTATGCCTATGCCTTTTTAAATAATATCTGAAATATTTACTAAGATAAATGTTAAAGTAGTTGTGTACATATATAATAGTAGTAAAAAAATTTAAATTATGACTATTATGGAAACAGCATGAATATTAATTTTAAAACTTAAATAATTATCAGATGATGTTGAAGAACGGTTAAAAACAGTTATATCAAATGGATTTTCTACAGTTGAGAATGAGTTACATTTTATACCACAACCTTACTTAAAATTACTTAAGTTTATTTTAAATAAATATGAACAAAATGATGACGACTCAATTATAACTGTTTGCAAAAATTTTAACGACAAATATGATAGCTTTTTAGTTGATCAAAAATATGCAACAATCAAACGTTTAACATTACCATTGTATTATGTTGCACTTATTAAAATTGATGGACGGCCATTGAAAGAGTAAGTATAATGTAAATAACATATTAAGAATCAGGTTTATAGATTCAGAAAATTCATAGAGCCTGTTCCAACAATTTTTTTTCAAATTAAATTATATTTACAAGGTTTAACTTAATATTATTCCAAAGAAAATATTTATAAATCTAAAGATTCTTTTATATAACCAGATAATACATTAAATATTCAAAATTTATTGTTTAAATAGATTTTTATTGAGTAGTAAGTTTCAACCAAGCAGTATTGAATTAACAAGTGTTAGGGGTATGGCCATTAACAGTTTAATTATAGGTAACAATATTTTCGAAAATCATTATTTTTTAAAATATTTTTTTTGTTTATAACGAAAATTCCCAGGTGTTAACCAAATGTTACATTGCATAACACCTCGCCATTCTGAAAATTGGACTGGTGTACGCTGAATGAAGTCAATAAATATATGTATAACTCTCCCTTTCTCAAAAAAAATCCTAAGACAAGTAGTTTTGACCCTGGAAATAAAATTTAAAATAGGAAATGAAAATACTGGATAAATTTATTGATATAAAATGGAAATTTTGAACGATTTTTATTCTTGATATTTCTATTTAATTAAAAAATAAATTAAGAAAATATGTAAAACATAATTGGTTTTTATACAAAATAATTTTTATTTCAGATTTATCTTAAATAAAAAGCTATTATCATTTATTAATGAATTGTGTATGAAAATGTTTTGTGCTCTAGTGAATAGCTTTGATAACATGACAATAACTTCTGAAAATAGTAAGTTTTATATAAAAACTAAATAATTAAATTACTTAGTGAAATTTCTAAAAGTATATGAAATGCATACTTATTTGAAAAACAAAAACATTTATTGTTAACAGTTTTAATGTATATTTATTATTTTTTTAGACAAGTTACCAAATGTTATATTGGATGAATATTTATGTTTTAATGTTTCAAGTAAATGTTGTTTTCTATTAACAGCTGTTCGAGGAATACATAGTGATCCTTCAATTCTTAATAAATACACTTCGAAAGAGTAAGTTATGATGTAGTATTTGAATTTTAGTTTCGATGCGAAGCTGAGAAGGTATTGGTTTTACTAAGATGTGTTTTTATTTTTTTTTATTTTTATTTTTTTTGTGTCTGTTACCACTTTTTCTCAGCTATCACCGAACCGATTTCTTTCAATGATAAGTCAAAAGATCACAAATCGTATCTAGTCGAAGACATTACCCTCAAAAATTGAAAAAAATTCCCTCGTTCCCCGTAAATGGGGGAAACCTCCGAAAAAATTACAAATTTAAAAATCGCTAATTTTCGAAATTTTTTCAATTTTTTTTACTAAAAACNTTAACAGCTGTTCGAGGAATACATAGTGATCCTTCAATTCTTAATAAATACACTTCGAAAGAGTAAGTTATCATGTAGTATTTGAATTTTAGTTTCGATGCGAAGCTGAGAAGGTATTGGTTTTACTAAGATGTATTTTTATTTTTTTTTATTTTTATTTTTTTTGTGTCTGTTACAACTTTTTCTCAGCTCTCACCGAACCGATTTCTTTCAATGATAAGTCAAAAGATCACAAATCGTATCTAGTCGAAGACATTACCCTCAAAAATTGAAAAAAATTCCCTCGTTCCCCGTAAATGGGGGAAACCTCCGAAAAAATTACAAATTTAAAAATCGCTAATTTTCGAAATTTTTTCAATTTTTTTTACTAAAAACTGCTATAACTTTTTGAAAGATGTATGGATCAATATAATTCTTTTTTATGTAGATACATGATGTCATTACCTATCATTTGGTATATTTTTTTTATAAATTTGACTTTTTACCTGCCCATAGGGGGGGATTTAAAATGACAACTTTTTTACAAAAAATTAATTTTTTCAACTTAACTTTTGAAAGTGTTCCGGAAGGTCTGACACTTTTATATATATCTTAAATTAAAGCTAATGTAATATACTTTATTATGAAAAAAAAAATTTCGGACTTTAATTTATCTTCAGGGTGAAAATGGCTACCAAATGCTATTTTTGTGTGAAAATTTTCGATTTTGTATTTTCCATTTTTAACTTTATTATGCTATAACTTTTTGAAAAATGTATGGATCATTACAATTTTTTTATGAGAAGTAGTATTTATATAGATCTTTCATTCGACATACTGTTTTTTTAAATCGGACCATTTCCCTAAATACAGGGGGGATTCAAAACATAAAAATGCATATAGAAAGTAGAACTTTTTCAACTTAACTTTTGAAAGTGTTCCGGAAGGTCTGACACTTTTATATATATCTTAAATTAAAGCTAATGTAATATACTTTATTATGGTAAAAAAAAATTTCGGACTTTATTTTATCTTCATGGTGAAAACAGACATTAAACTTAATAAAAAAAATACGATTTTTGTAAAAAAATTCTTTTTTATATTTTTAACTTTATAATGCTATAACTTCTCGAAAGATGTATGGATCAATATAATTCTTTTTTTTGTAGATGCATGATGTCTTTACCTATCATTTGGTATATTTTTTTTATAAATCTGACTTTTTACCTGCCCATAGGGGGGGATTCAAAATGACAAATTTTTCACATAAAATTGACTTTTTCAACTTAAATTGTGAAAGTATTCCAGAAAGTCTGACACTTTTATATATATATTAAATTAAAGCTAATGTAATCTACTTTATTAAGTAAAAAAGAAATTTCGGACTTTATTTTGTCTTCATGTTGAAAATGGCTACCAAATGCTATTATTGTGTGAAAATTCTCAATTTTATTTTTTACATTTTTAACATTATAATGCTATAACTTATTGAAAAGTGTATTGATCAATATAATTTTTTTATGGGAAATACTATTTTTTAATAATCCCTTTTTCATTTGACATACTTTATCTTAATCAGGATATTAATAAGGAACTAGCAGATCATGTAACTTTTGGAATAATCCACCAATTTTTTAATATTAAACACTATCTAAAGATTTGCACCGAAGCGTTTTTTTTTATAATGATTTTAATCACTGTCAGATATCATTATAAATGATCCAACTATGCCACGTCACCACTGTACTAATATTTTTTACTTTACGTGTAACACATATGATAACTGACCTAAAAATTGGAACAGTTGTAGATGTTTTAACTGATTCATTTTTGAATTAAACAAATAGCGATCTTGATTATAACCAGTTTCATTACGTCCATTTGGTGTCAATATTAATAATTTAATTGTTTGTGTTTGAAGTTCTTCAACCATTTGGGCAATTGTATCATCAAACACACCTCCTGCATCATCAGCTCCCTCTCCGACTAATTTTAAAATTAGTCCGACTAAAAATGCTATAACTTTTTTAAAAATGTATGGATCAACACAATTTTTTTATGAGAAATATTTTTAATAATCCCTTTTTCATTTGACATACTTTATCTTAATCAGGATATTAATAAGGAACTAGCAGTTCATGTAACTTTTGGAATTATCCACCAATTTTTTAAAATTAAACACTATCTAAAGATTTGCATCGAAGCGTTTTTTACGATAGTGATTTTAATCACTGTCAGATATCATTATACTTGATCCAACTATGCCACGTCACCACTGTACCGCGACCCCCCTGTGCTGGGTTTTTTTAGCATAAAAGTAATATAAAATTAATTTTAAGAATATATTGTTATTTATATTATTTTTATACATAATCACATTCTTAACTGTCTGCAAAGATGACTTAAGTGTATATTTAGAGTAGAGGTCTCCTTATTAAAGAAATTCTAACTATAAATCTTTTTAATTAAATTTAGCTATGCCATTAGGTAAATGTATTTTTTTATACCTATCATAACCAACTTTTTAAATGTCTTTCACATCATCATCATGACCATTACTCTTGTTGTCTTATACTATAACTTAAATTAGCTACCACCATGGTAGTGTATGTGTGTCGCCGTCAGCTCCCTATTAGATTATTATTATCTTTAGGTGTCCAGCAGGTTGTATTGTTTATTTAATATTTCTTTACTTAATAAATATTTATTTTGTTGCTAACCCAAGAGTGTTATATATATATTGTAGTGCGACCCTTTGTTAGTTCCTCTAATGGAATATAAATTAAATAGGAAACATTAGTACCTAAGGAAGATATAGTCTAGCTAGCTATCCCTCATTGATTCCTTAGAATACTGTTGATAGACATTTAGACTCAACCTCTAAATGGCAACGGAACAATTGCTTACATAATAATTGAAATAATTTAGTATTTAACTAAATTATTTATACAATATTATTCATAAAATAGACCAGGCACAAAAATTAATTAAAACTAGCTATTGTTACTAAAAATAAAGTTGAAATCAGTAATAGTTTTTTAAATCTCTGTCTCTAAAATATATAATTAAGACAATATGTTTTTCAATAAGAAGAAATGATGTAATAATTGAAATAATTTTTTTTTCTGTTAGTGATCTTACTCCTACTAACAAATCACTGTTAGAATCTGTGTTGGAATTCGTTTTGGATTTTAAACAAGCGACAAATCCATATGCGTTGATACAAGCTTCAGAAATTGAAGAAATTAGAGCACATGTTTGTATATTTGTTATTATAAATGCTTTATAAATTATGTCCATAATAATTAAAGTTTAATACATTTAGGATCGTTTAGCAGCTCTTAATCGTATAACAAGGATGTTAAAAATTATTGACTTTATTCAAGATTCTTCAAATCTTATTTCCTTGTCACACATGTGTAAAGTAAGTTGTCCAATTAAACAATTCATTTGCTATATATTTAATTTAATTTCCTCTAATTCTAATCTAGGTTTTTGAAGCCTTCACTTGTGGTTTACTAGGATTGTGTCATGTACAAAATATTGGCCATAACATAATTGACCATTATTATTCAGCTATTAATACTGTTCCTAGATCAATTAAAAAACAAATTCAAAATTCTATTCTTAATATATATAAACATTTTGAGATATATCTTAGAATGAGTGTTCCAACTACTGAGCTATTTTGTATACAAATAAGTGTACTCTCATTACTTAATATGCATTTTACTTTATCAGATTTTGAATACTTGCTTTCAAATAATTTACCAGAAATGTTAGTTAATATTTGTAAACTCCATATTCCTTTTATGTCTACTGACAGATATTCTTTAGTTTTGGTAAAAATGACTAGTAATATTTTATACATATTGGCATCATCTGGGTGGTAAGTTATTGTTTAATATATATTTTTTTTATATAATTTAAACTATGTAATTTTATAAAACTTGCTCTTGGGATGGGCCACAATGAACATCTTCATGGATCTAAAAGCATATATATATATATATATATATATTTAAATTACTATACCCGTTTGATATACAAATATATAGGAAGTTCAAAAAGTAAGAAAAAAGGTGTCTATTGATTTCATTTTTTGTAACAACTGACTTGTTTTTTTCTTTTTAAACTTCCTATATAATTTTTAGTTTTATAAAAATTTTATATTTACACAAAAAACAAGAAAATTGATCTTAAAGTTGTTACCAAGTAATCATTTTTTTAATAAAATCATTTTTTATTTTATAAGCTAGTTCAGTAGAGAGTTCAATCAAACCATATTTCAGACNATTTTTTTAATAAAATCATTTTTTATTTTATAAGCTAGTTCAGTAGAGAGTTCAATCAAACCATATTTCAGACAAACTGTAATTTTAATTGAAAAATATTACAGATAAAATATACAGTGATTTTTTTATCATAACCATAATTAAAAAAATTTTTTTTTGGTTATCCTTAATTACACATAATTCTTGAACTATTAACTATGTAATACTTTTTAAGTTCATTCCTTTTACCTTTTATGGGTGTCAATTTTGTTTTTCTAAATAAAAACATATATTTTGAATTTAATACAATTTTGAAATTTTTAATTTAATTTAACAGTCATGGAGTGTTTATTGTCAATTATGACTATTAATAAATATACTTTCTGTATAGCTAGTTAGTGTATTTATAAACTCACAACAATGTCCTTGCTACCATTGATAATAAATACAGTGTACCTACGAATATCGACACCCTTACAAACAGTGGCGTATTTAGAAGGGGTCACAGGGGCATGTGCCCCACTCAATTCACTGAGTAATGTAAATATTTTATCAAGCAATGTAATAATGTAATTTGTGGAAAAACTAAACATAACTATTTTAGAATAGGGACATGTAATGCGAAGACAATGATTAAAATGGGGAGGCTGGAAGAAGTAAAAGAACAAATGAAGAAAGCAAAGCTAGATATACTTGGTATAAGTGAAACAAGATGGCCTAGAAATGGTGATTTTATATCTGACGATTTTCGAATCATTCATAGTGGAAATGAGAAAAGAGGAAAAAAAGGGGTGGTAGTGATATTAAAAGGGAAGTGGAAAGACAATGTACTCAACTTGTACCACCAAAAAGACAGATTACTTATGATGAAAATATAAGCAAAGCCTACAAATATTTACATTATACAAGTGTACTTCCCGACATCTAGAAGTACGAATGAAGAAATTGAAGAGAAAAATATGTACTTTGAAGTCCCGCTAAGGAAAGGATATACACGGAAGCGCCTGGAGATAGAAGTTGGTATCATAAGATTCATACTCGTAAAAACTAAGTTCAGAAATCAGATCAAATCTAGCTATGCTTAACCAGGATATTATATTAATAGTGATCATAACCTTGTGATGGCACAATGAAACATTAAATTTAAGAAAAGAACTAAAGTAACAAAAAGAAGAAATGGTGCGTTGGAAAACTAAAAGACCAAAATATAACTGAAGAATTCAAAAGGAATTTAGATGAACTTGATATTGGAGACAAAAGCTGGGATAGTATGAAGATGGACATAATTATAGTTGCAGATAAAATAATTGGTAAAAATAAAATAGAACCGAAGAAGCTATTGATGACAGGATAAATTCTTGAATTGATTGAATTGAAGGAACAAATTAAGGAACAGAGATAACAATTTATATATTAGCATACGTAAAAGATTCGTTAAAACATTTGTCTGGAGTGTGCTATCATATGGCAGTGAAACATGGACAATTGACAAGAAATATAGGGAGAAAACTAGAAGCATTATAGTTATGGATATGGAGAAACATGACAAAGACAAAATGGATAGATAAGAAAAGAAAGGAGCAAGTTTTAGAAGAAAGACAGCTAATGATGGTGATTGAATCAAGAAAAATTAAGGTAATTAGACACGTGATCCGGCACAATGATTTAATAATCAACTATATAATCAATTATACACCCAATAAACTGTGCGTCTTTTGTTTCATTGAAGAATTTAATGTCAAACAGAGAGGAGTGGCGTCAACGACAAGGCATTGCCTTTAATAGTTGATGATGTAATAATGTATAATATTGTTAAAAAAAGTTATTTTTGGTTATCAATAATAACATGGGTTTATGAAAAGTTAGTCAATATAGTTGTTATGTGGATAAAAATTTGAAGCCTACATAGTTGTCCCGTTAATGTTATCATCTATTTTTGAAATATTTATTATGTAGAGATACACACATTGTGTAAAATGAAATATTTTTATTAATAAAAATAGATTCAAAACAAATAACATTTTTCTTTCAAAAAAATTTAAAATATGTGTTAACAAAAGTTATGAGCAAAAAAAAGAGTTGTTTTATGATACCTTATTCAATATTTTGTCTTCCTCCATTATAAATTTTTAAATACGCCATTGCTTACAAGGTAAAAGGAATGAACTTAAAAAGTATTATATAGTTAATAATTAAAAAATAATGTGTAACTAAAGATAACCAAAAAAAATATTTTTAAATTATATTTATTCTATAAGTAATTGAGTGGGTTATAATAAAAAAATCACCTGTATATATCAAAAATATTTAAGCCGAAAATTATATTTATTTATGGAACCTTGAGCAAATTATAAGTACAGGGTCAAATTATTGCTATAATTTATGTATCAAAATTAATAAATAATCATACTTTTTAACTGTTAATTGACAAAATGATACATATAACCTACTATTTTTATCTTGTGTTCAATAATTATAAAATCCAACCCAAAATAATCTTTATATACAATAAATTCAGAATTCATACAAATAGAACACACACACACACACACATATATATATATATATATATGTATAATTTTTTTTTACAATGATTAATGATTAGTTGTTCATTTTTTACACCTATGACACTGATTGTTACAAATCTTTTCAAATTATGTTAATAAAATAAATTAATTACTGTTAAAATCCTTTTAAGCTAATCAACAAATTTTAATTTAATCATCATATTTCAAATAATAAATTTTATTTAAAAAAATATAGATCAACCAATATTTTTTTTGGATATATTATTTTTTGAAAGAATTTGGCGAAGATATTTGTCAGATTAGTTTTATTTAGGTTGATATACTCTTCAGCTAAATTATGATTCAGTCAAGTTAATTTTTTGATGAAATATTTTCTGATAAAATATTGTTTGCTGTATAATTTTTGATTTTCTATAGCTCCCCAATTAAATATATATGTTGCCATTTAAAAATATAGTTGCCACTTCTTTAAGGTTTAAGGAATGAACTAAAAAAGTAAATAATAATTATCAAATCAAAAAATATATAAAATAAAAAATGTCAAATAATTTTCTTAACATTATTATTATTTTAAGAAAAATTAAATGTGTAGCATTAAAAGAATCACATTGTATAATATATACAGTTATTTAAAGATTTTTTAATTGTAACTATTTATGTAACTAACAGAAAGTTGATATAAAACTATTAATTAAATTTTATACTTGCTTAATATTTTAGTAATGCAAAAACCAGTTCTGAAAGTATCAAAGGAGTTTTTATTAGTATACATCATCTTTTAGATATTTTTATTAATTCATCTCAATGTTCCATCATGGAAAATACTTTTCCTGAAGTTTTTTGTAGCAAGACTTTGATTGATGGGTACAATTGATTCATTTTAATATTAATAACTTTAATTTTAACACTTAATACATAAATGTTTGTTCATATGTAGGGATGATGCATCAGAATCATTTCCAGCACAAAATTATATATGTGATTTATTATCATTTGTATTACAATGCTCATCATTTTCTCCAATATGTATTAGCTCTCATGAATGGACTGAAACACTTTTATATTTAGCTGACTGTTCTAAAATTATGCTATTACCAGAACTATTTAGATGCAAATTATTAATACTTAGATTATTAGGCCAAAATTTACCAAATTTAAAAACAACTAGTAGCACTCGTAAAAAAGTAGGTACATTTATGTAATATTTTTAAATAATTTAATGTAGTTTCATAACTATTTCTAATAAGTTAAGATAATTTGTTTATTCTTTGCTTGTCTGATACATAATAGTATTTAGTTTCAATAACTAATTAGTATTAAAATAGAGAGTTAAAGTGAGGTTGAGATGGTATTAGTTTTACATTGATATAAGAGTCTTCAGTTAAACATTTGTTATCCTAGAAACTACTGAGAATTAAATTTATTTTAAAATTAAAGTTATATTAAAAAAAAAAAAATTTAGCTCAAAAAGTTAATCTAATTATTATTCAATTACATCTGAGGAAAATAGAATTTATTATTCTTCATGTGGTAAATTATCTCCTACATCAATTACTTTTTAACTAGTACTTATTGTAAGCACTGGTGAAAATAGAGTCTATATTGTAGAGTAGGGATTGGTAATAATGGCATGTGACCTGAAGATTAATAATAAATGGCTCGCCAAATATATTTTACTTCCATATTTCTTTTTTCACTTGATAATTTATTATATAGAAAAAATAAATTTTATACAATGATAAATTTATTGACTAAGACAGTTTTTTTTCTATCTCTCAAAATTTTTCTTTAAATCTATCTGGTGTGTTTTAAAAACAAATTACAAAAATGTTATTATTTTTATAATGCTGATGATTTATTATTTTTGTGTACTTAGATTGTAAAAACATTATTAAAACAGTTAGCTAAAAATATGTGGTTAATTCCTCAACAAGTAGAAAATATGACAGCCTTTTTAAAACAAGAAGATTTGGACAGACAAATGGGAAACATATGTTTAAATGGTATTTAATTTATTTTAAATGTTTATTTTTATTTATTTATGATAACTTATCATGTAATTTCAGATCCTAATGAATTGGGTATGTGTGATCAAAGTATTGATGTTGGTGAATTACCTTTTTCATTTCACGAAGAAAAAAGTTTCAATTGTATCATAGAAAATGGCCACACAGTTATTCATGCACATGGTGGGAGGGCATATGCTTTAGGATGTACTCCATTTGAAAGTGGTGAGTAATAAACTAACAAAATTTTTCTTTTATTTCAGTATAACATTTCATATTTTTTGAATATTATGCTATTATCAGGAGTATACCAATGGAAATTTTTTTTATTGAAAGAACACAAAGGAAATGAAGGATCGTGTATTGGTATTTCAAAATATCCAATTAAAGATCAAAACTATAGAACTACTACTGATATGTGGTTATATAGAGCGTACAAGTACGTAATGCATACTTATAAGTAACTTTTATAGAATAACTTGTAAATAACTAAGTAAAAAATATGGATGTGAACTGGTAATTAAACTCAGTTTTCTTAAAAACTAGGTTGTAATATTCTCACTAAGCTGTCTAATGGCAATGGCGTCATTTCAGTTTTTTTTTTTAGAGAGTACAATCTTTTTAGTGGCCACCTTACTATATTTTTGGCCTCTTTATCAATTTTTGAACAAAAATAATGGTTTTCAAAATTTTTTTCAACTTTAATTTTGCATGAATTAAATTTGAATAAAAAAATGAAGTTTATTTATTTTCTTTAAATTTATATTATTAAAAAAAATATTAATATTTAGTTAAAAATTTAAAGTAATATATATATTAAAAAAAAGTAATTATTAAAAATCATAAATCTTATGCATAACATATACTTATAAGTTATTATGTCATAAATAAAAATGTATAATATATTAGTATGAATTAGTAAAAAAACACTTAAAATATAACTAATAAATCATTCAAATTAAAGAATATTTATGATTTTTGATTCTAACGAAGACACTCACAACTTTTAGTAAAACCAATATTACTGGCAAATATTTTTTAACTGCAATATTTAATTCGCCTAAATTCGTTATATTAATAATATTATATTATATAAATTGTAATTTTAACATTTAAATTTATTATGTAGCTTATACTTTGATTTATATTTAATTCATTAACAATTTTTTTTTTTTATCATGTATTAGAAATTTCATGTCATAATGAAGCAGCAGCTAACAATTATTTTTTATTTTGTCTTTAAGCCAAGAGTTACCTCATTTTAATTTATTATTTAACATTATTTCATAATTTTTTTGTGGCTCACAAAAAAAGTCGTACCCCTGCCATCCTCAAAATGATGACCCTACCTGTTGGTCGTACTTAGTTTTCAACTTTAAAGTATATATTTATAGTAATAAATTATTATTGTTTTTAAGCCCTTTTTTATTTGCTATTGTTTAACCAATTTTTTTTTAATTTTATATTTTAGTGGTAGTTTATATCATGGTGGTCAAAAACCTCTTGTTTTAAAAACATTCACCCAAGGGGATTATATCACAGCTATTTTAGATATTGAAGCTAGAACATTAAGTTTTGCCAAGAATAATGATTATCCAGTTGTGGCATTTCAAAATATAGATACTAAAATTAAACTTTATCCTTGTGTACTATGTTACAGTACAGCCGCTGGGCAAAAAGTACAATATTTAAACTTGAATATAATTTTAAAAATTCATTTTTATTCATTAGCAATTAAAATATGTTTTATTTAATATTTTTAGATTAAAATTAGTGATTATAGAGCTGAACGAAATAAAAATAGTGAATTATTTCCTGGAGAACCTTATTTAGCCCCTATGTTTACCTGTATTGTTGAAAAATATGTGGAAATAATTCGCATGTTACATAATCTTGATCAATGGCTTAATGAAGTAATTTTTAAATTTGTTTCTAATTTTATTAAAACCAAATAAAAGTTTTATGAGGATCAATAAAAAATTAAAACCTTTGATACAAACAAATGTGTGACTTAATAAAAGTTGCATTTAATTAGTTAATTTTTATGAAAAACATACATGATATCAAATAATAAAGTTATAAAATTATACTTTTTCTAGGTAAATGTATGTTTACTGGATCAACTTTCATATCTTAGAGATACTTTTCCTGAAGTAAATTTTAAAGATAGAAAGTTAGATATATCTGAAATGAATCAAAGAGAGCCAATTTGTGAAAAAATAAATGATATTAATATTAATTTATTATGTGAAAAAGTTTGGCCTGCATTAGCTGTCATCGGTGGAATTGATCGTGGCTTAAGAGTAGATGGAATATGTTATGATATAGAACAGAAATCATTTGGCACAATTTTAGGAACTCTTAAAAAAGGTTTTACTACAGCTAAAGTTATGTGGGAAGATAAAAATGATACAGTCAGGTATTCTTTTGAAAAATTAATTTTCTTAGATTTGTAAATAAATCATTATTGATTGACTGCAAGTTATTATTTCTGTTACAGCGACATATTATTTCATTCCCTATTGCCTTGTAATAATACAAAATTTAATTCTTCACGTTTAGAGAATTTGCCTTCTTTAACATTGTATTCAATAGGACGATTGAGTGGGATTACAAATGAAGTAAAATTATTAAACAATAAAATTGTTAAATTTTGAATGTGGAATAAAAATACATATATTTTAATTTTAGTTAATATTTGCAAATCAAACTTTTAATAAAGTAACAGAAAGCTCTTTAGAAGATAATTCTTCTAAATCTTTAGACATGTTTTCTAGTCAAATGATCATGAATATTATGGACCAGATATCCGAAATAAAAAATACAAAAAATCATAAAAATAGTGCATCTGGTTCAAAGTCAACCACGGATCTCGAGTAATAAATTATAATAATTTTTCTAATGTAATATTTAGTGTAATTTTATTTTTTTTTAGAGATTCTTATAATAATCTTTTAGCTCATGAAACAAATATGTTTAAAATGTGTTCTCTACAAATTAGTGCATTAAAAAGTTTAGAGGTAATAATGACAAGCTTTGTAAGTATAGATATGCTAGTCAATCCAAAAAGATCAAAATATTCAACTGATGCTAATAAAAATGCCATAAAAGAATACAAAAAAAAATACCGTAGAGATGTTGATGATAATGATAATTATAGAAATAGTATTTTGTTATTTTTATTTAGGTAATTCAAATTTCTTAATATATATTAATTATTTGGCCAAGTGTTTTGTTAAGGTATTATTTGAATAAAAATATATTGGTCTAGGTGTGCTTTTGAAAAAAGTTTATGTTCTCAGTACTTAGTTATTGAAACAGATATTGTTGAATGTGAAAGAATATTGAACATACTTTATAATAACTATCTCAAAGAATGTGCAGAAAATAAATATAAAATTCCAGATTTGCAAAATCGTTTAAAAACTCTTATAAGCTTTCAAGAAAGCAATAATTTACAACGAAGAGAATCTGTAAGTTAAAAATAGTAGTCAATAAAGTTAAGTATTTTTTAATGTAAAACTTTGGGTACTATTTAAAAGATTTCTGGAGAAACATCAAGAAATACTGATGATCCGCCTAGGAGGATTGTCCGATCTCGGCGTAACATGCTCCATCGATCAAACACTATTTATATGTGCCCAAATAATAGTATTCTTGGGAATAGTAATAATTCATCAAATGAAAATAATGAAAGAGTTCCAGCTATTGCTACTCCTTTAATTGAAATGGGATTTTCTGCCAGACTAGTTCAGCGAGCAATTAACGCTTTAGGTATTACCGTATATTAAAATAAAACTCAAAGTAATTAATTTAGTGGATTTAATATTTAGGCAATACTTGGGAAATGATGCCACGTAATGTTGCTATTAATAGTTTAGCTACATGGATGATAGAACATCCATGTATTCAAGAAACTAATGTGGAAAATACTGCAGACAATGCAGAAAACAGAGTAAAATATATTTAAAAAAATAATTCTGATTAATATTAAATAGATTTATTATTTACAGTCATCGATATCTACTACTTTAAGACTACCAAATTATGGATCTCGTTTTGAGAATCCAACAGATGAAAGTATTGAAAGTTCTGTTGATTTATTGTCACATAGAAGAGTAGTAACTTCAAGAAGACGCCCAAGAGAACTTATGACTGACTCTTCTTCAAATAGAGCATCTGGTTTACTTGTTAATAATGAATTGACTGAAGATTCTATTAATAGAGTAATGGCTAGCATGCATGCCTTTTCATCAGATGTTGAACAACCTGAATCACCCCCTGAAACCCCTCCACGTGTACATTCACCCAGTTTAGATATTGTTACTGGAGTTTTTGATTCAATTAGATCTCGGTTAGATGGTACTTCAATGCCATCATCTAGTCAAAACTTAGGATCTAATACTTTTGGCGAAACTAGACAATTATCAGAAATAATTTATCCTGAAACTTTAAGTTCAATAACACAAAGAGCACGTAAGAATGTTTAGCCACTATTATTTTAATATTATTATATTATTTTATAATTTATGTTTAAAATGCTCTTTTGTAAGTTGTTGTTTGATAGAGAGGATATAAAAATTATGTAGTTCAGGGAACATTATCTTTATGCCTGTGGCAAAAAGTGTTTCGAACTGAGCTGTATAGACTTTTATCATTGTATTAATATAACTATATTTACAGCAAATGATTCTTCTTGTACTAATTGTCAAGAGAAAATTGAAAAATTAAAAAACATTGATTTCATTAAACCAAAAAAATCTTTACAAGCTGATTGGAATATAGGTAATTATTATAAGACTTTATTTAACTTGTTCTATTATGTGATCATTTTAATAACCAAATTTTTTTGAATACAATTTTAGTATCTAATTTGATGAATCATTACAACTACTGTGATAAACCATTTAACTTGGATTCAATTCATGAACAGTTAAATTCATGTCAGTTCATATCTGACAGTGTTGAAGATAATACAATGGATCAACTTGGTATTGAAATAGTTCCACGTATTTCTACAAATGAGTGCAGTTCAAATGATAGCATATTTCAAAATTCTCCAATTTTCAAATTTTTATCTTTGGAAGTTGCTTTGATGACCAATTCAGAAGATCGTTGTAAAACCATTAATCGAACGCTTCACACAATGTTACATTTGGGATCTAGAAATATTGTTTTAAATACATTGATGTCCCTTATAAATTGGTCTTTTGAGACTGAAGATGTTGTTACTTGGAAATTAGATGAATTAGGTTTTACAAACGTCACCAAAATCGTGCAATTTTTGAGACTGCTACTTATTTTAAATATTTGGACTGAAAGAGAATATAAAGAAAATCAAGTTTTACCCAATGTATTAGAAAGGAACACCCTTGAACTTCTTTCACGAATTACTATTGCATTGGCCGATAATTTTCAACCATCTTATAATTTAATAATTTCTATCATTGTTCAGGTAAAATTTAACATATCAAAGTATACACAAATACATATACACATATTGTTATTTTATATTAAAAATCATGTAATGTATTAATGTAAAAATCATATTTAATTTAAGTAAATATTTATAGAGAGCTAGATTTTAAACTATTTGCCTAGGGAATTATTTAAAGATAATTTAGATGTCTAATCAAAATAATACACATTAAAAATTATTAGACTGATTAATCTGTTCTTTAAATTAACTTTAACTAATTTGTTTGAAATATTTAAATAATTTTTTGAATAATATGTTGAATTTATAATTTTGATTTTATTTAAATGGATTATATATTTATTTTATTTTATTTATACATTATTGCTTGTGATAGCTAAAGCAATAAATTTTACATAACTAAGTAAACCAAGACATAATTGAAAGTTTCATTTTGACATCATCATTAGAAAATTATAATATATAATAGAAAATGTATCCATTTAAGTATAACATTGTATAAATTATTTTTTAGGATATTTTTACTGTTGCGACTGAAGGAGTTTTAAATTTGCGTTATAATATAAAAATTACCAAATTAATTGTTAATGAACTAGTAAAAAAACTTGATATTTTTTCAAAATATGGTAATATGTAATTATTGTACCCTAACAACATTTAAAAAAAATAATTTTTTTTTTTAATTAAAATTTTAGATGAGCGTAATGTCGTCAGTAGCCCAAATGAAAATGATAAAATACCATCATGTAAAATGCTTATAAATGCCTTATCAGCTTGTATATTATCACATGTAGTTAGCAATGATATAAAACATTGGGCTTGCAAACAATTGGTAAGTTTTCCCTCTAAATAAATGTAAATTAAATTTATACATAATCTATTTATGTTTTATTAAATAGGTAAATATACTAGTGAATAAATCAGCTCTTCAAAAGCTTTCAGTATTACAAAATGAGTCAGATTTTCCTGGTGCTTTAAAAAGATGTCCTATAATTAAATTAGAAGGCCATGAAAACCGTATAAATCATGTTATATGGCAACCAAAGCAAAAATTACTTGCATCATCGTAATATTTATTATATGATAAAATAAAACTTAAACATTTCTTAATTAAAAAATAAAATATTAGTGGTTTCGATGGAACTATGAGATTGTGGAATAATCAGTTAAGTCTAGAAACTACATTGATGTTTTTTAAATCATCAGATGTGTATGGTAACGATTTGAATGGAGAACTTATATCAAAACTTGCATGGTCGCCATCTGGATCATGTATTGCTGCTTCAATGGAAGGAACTTTAAATATTTATACAATTAAACGAAGTAAGTTTCGAGAATTAATTTACAACTAATAATAAAGAGATAAATTGAATTCTAAACTAAAATTCAAAATTTATCATAAAAAACGGTAGCATAGTGGGGTCGCGGCACAGTGTGGACGAGGCATAGATGGAACCAGTATAGATGATATCTGACAGTGATTAAAATCACTATCATTAGAAACGCTTCGATGCAAATCTGTAGATAGTGTTTAATTTTAAAAGATTGGTAGATTAAAACTTAAAATATAGTAAAATAATTTTAATATGAATAAAAAATTTCTTCTCGCGAGTGGCGACTACAGTGATGGGATCCTAGATCTTTATTGAAGTTATTGAATCTAAATGAGATAAAAATCAAAGCAGTTGAAAATTTATTCTAACTTAAAAAGAATTAAGAAAAAATGCAAAATATTCATTGCCATACGCGGGTTGAAATCTTGTACCCCTAGCATATAAAACACAAGTTTTACCGACTCAGCAACCGTACGTCGGTACCTGAGGTTGAAAAAAATGGCTATTTAAGCTAGTTCAAATTTCATAGTTATTTTTATNACTCAGCAACCGACTCAGCAACCGTACGTCGGTACCTGAGGTTGAAAAAAATGGCTATTTAAGCTAGTTCAAATTTCATAGTTATTTTTATCGACTTAAAAACAAACAAATTTAAATAAGTTTAACTTTCTATGCTATATCAATTTTATTTATATAATATTTATCCAAATCAGTGTACTCCCCTTGTCATGTATTTTCAAATGGTCCGATTTAAAAAAAATGAATGTCGAATGAATGAGGTATATATAAAGTATTTATCATTTTTTCACAATAATTGCATATTTTTGCATACGGTAGTCATTTTCACCATGAAGACAAATCCAGAAGTCAATTTTTTTTTTTTCAAAGTAAAGTATATTACATAATCTTGAATTTAAGGTATATATAAAAGTGTCAGTCTTTCCGGAACATTTTTAAAAGTTAAGTTGAAAAACTTAATTTTTTGTAAAAAAGTTACCATTTTAAAACCCTTCCTGTGGGCTGGTAAAGGGTCAAATGTTCACAAAAATATATAAAATGATAAGTAAATACCTAAAGTATCTATAAAAAAAATTATACGGTTATTTTTAAAAATTTATGGCAATTTTAAGTAAAAAAAATTGAAAAAATGTTGAAAATTAGCGATTTTTAAATTTGTATTTTTGGGGGGATTTCCCCCGTTTACGGGGAACGAAGGAATTTTTTTCAAATTTTGAGGATAATGTCTTCGACTAGATACGAATTATGATCTTTTGACATATTTTTCATCAACATTGTTCCAGCGAGAGCTGAGATTGAGCATATACAGACACAAAAAAATTAATAAATAAAAAGAAAAAAAAAACACATAATAGTAAAATTAATACCTTCTCAGCTTCGCATCGAAGCTAAAATAGTTTGATTAAAATGGCATAAGTTTTTTTTCTATAATTTTTATACTATTTAAAAATATATAAAGTTAAAAAAATGAATATTACTTCTTTTTTAACTAAAGGGAATTATTGTGCTCATTTGCCAATAGTACTCTACAAATAATTATATTTTTCAAATTATATAGATATAATTATAATGTTAAATACAATAATAATTCTTATTGCTTAATTTTTGTTTTATCTTTTTACATTCTTACAGTATATTAATTTATTTATTTGGTTAAATGTTCAAATGTATTTTAATAACTGTTATAGCTATCTGTGATGAAGATGAGACAGGTTTGTCTACACATACAAGAGATGCTTGGATAACAGCCTTAGCATGGTCTGGAACAACAACAAAAAATTCTTATGATTTCCAGACCCAATATTTATTAGTCGGAGGTGTTGATGGGTCTGTCAATGTTGCAACTGTGGAGTGTTTATCTAAAATAACCTATGAAAAATTAAATGATTTCTGCTGCTCAGGAGGTATTTTTATTTTAGCAAAATTAATTATATAACTTACATTATACAATTTTTATTACTAAATTAGTGTATGTATAATGCTTTTGAAATTTTAATATACATTAAATTAGATAAATATTTGAAGAGTCAAGAAAAAAAAATTGTCTCTTGAATAGTCATCATCTTATAAATTTATAAGTATGATTTAATCACTTGTTAAACCATTTTTCTAATGGTGTTACTATACTTAGAGATCTGTAAGATGATGGAAATTCGAGAGGTAAATTGTATTATTTAGATGATGTTTGAATATTTACTTTACTCGCTGTAATTTGAGTAAATTTATTATCAACATATTGCTAAGAAAAAAAAAATTTTAGCTGTTGGAAAATTATTTTTAAAAATATAGATTGAGACATAGTTAATGATTTATCCTACATATTTAAAGTTATAACATTTGAGAATCTTACTTGCTATAATACATATCAAACAAATATAGATGACTGATGAGCTATTAAAAAACTAAAACATCATTTTCAACAATATATGGCAGTTAAATTTATATATTGTCATTTAAAAAACTCATTTGTAAATTGATTCAATTTAAAGGCTAAGGAATCAGATATAACTAATAGAAACTGAGGGTGAATTAAAAATCATTCTTATTGATCAATAGTTATTTCTAAAAAGTAATAGTTTTTATTCATTCAATTTATTAATAAAATAAAAACTTTTTTTATTTATTTGAAATTTTTGAACAAATTAAAATATATTTTTTTAAATTGTAATAAAATACATTGTTAGACAACATTAAAAAAAAATTTTTACAAGTGGAAATGTATAAAACTATATATGGAAATATTACAAAAAAAATAAAACTTCTTTTTTTAATTAGCTCTATAATTAATAAAAATGAACTTAAGGGTTTAAAATTTTATATTTAGTTTCAGTAATGTGTATTAAAAAATAATCGCGAAAAAAAAAATGGTATCTAATCATGACATAAGTTCTGTCCCTATTTATTAGTTGTTCTATAAATATTTTACAATAACACCAATAATTTTGTTTTTGAATATAATTTTAAATAAATGTCATATCTATTATTTTTGGTTAGTACGATAGTTCACGTCACATATTAAACATTGAATGAGGTATTAAAGAAATGTGTATTACTGTTATTGCAAAGTTAGAGTCTTGTTTCAGTGATTGAAAGAGGTGGTGAGGTATCCCATGATTTTGTTTAATGTCCATACTTTTAATAATTTGTGAGAAAATCTTGCATATTAGTGGAATACTATTGTTCATTAAATATCTATGAGTTAGGTGTGTGTGTCCAATGCTGAGCCTGTCAATGATAACTTGGTGTCTGCGTGGTATGTTGAGATATGGCCATTTAGGGATGTTCAGTTTTATTTCGTGTAGTTTAGTTACAGTGCTTATCAATTCTTGTTGCTATAAGAGTAGACATTTTGTATTGGTGGTTGATTTGATATCTTGGATAGTCCATAAAGGTGTTTTTGCTATGTTGTCAGTTTTTGCAGTTTCTTTTGCTGGTATGTTTGCTTTTTCGTTTCCTTGGATTAATGAATGTCCTGGAACTCATATCATTTTTACAAATATACCTTTGTGGTGTAATGAGTAGACTGTATTTTATATTAAATTGACCAGAATATTTGTGTTAAATAGATTATCTAAGCTGGTAAGTGCGCTGAGAGAATCAGTTAAGATAATTGGGTCTCCGATATTGTTCCCACAAATATATTCAATTGCCTTAAGTATAGCATATGTTTCAGCTGTGTATATAGAGCAATGTTTTGGTAACTTATAGGTCTTATCGATCCATTAGATGCATCTGTGTATAATTTGTCCAGTTATGGTAATTGTTCATAAATTTTATAAATTTGGTATTGTAAATTACTTGAGGGGTTGAGAGTTTGGGTGAGTGGTGTAGTTCATAGTTGATATTTAATATATCAGAACATGCTGGGAATATTCTAAATGTCGTTTTGTATTAATGTTATTTTTTTCCATCATTTTTTTTATATAACTATGAGTAAGTAAATCATTAGTTTTTAGTTTAGCACCAAATTTTAATGTGTTACCTACCTGTTCTTATAATTTTATGGGGAAAAATGCCAGATATATTACATTTACTTATTATAGGGATTGATTTGAATGCTCCTAGAGCATACTATTTTATTTATTTGAGGAGCTTATCTAATGTCCTAATAAGTGAGATAGGACAGTAACTTTGGAGATCAAATATGTTTTTTCCAGGTTTCGGTATTTGAATGACCACACTATGTTTCCAGTTTGAGGGGATACTGCTTACTTTCCATATTTCATTGTAAAAATCTAACAAATACTGTTGTGACTTAGATGTCATATTATGAATAAAAAAAAAAGGGTATATCATCTATAACCAGGGCTGAGGCTATTACAGTTTTTTTTAATTTAACTTTTTGAAACTATTGAAAATAAAAAAAAAAAATTGTTTATCGGATTATTTAATGGAAAACTATAGATGACAAGGCAAAAAATAGATATTCATATGAAATAAGATCAAATGTAGCAGTCAAAACTATCGCAAAGAGGATTCGCATAAATCTACTCTGTAAACAAAAAATCATCGCTAGAGAAATGAAAATTCCACCATGTCTCACATAATTAAAGAAGACCTTGGTGCATATCTAAGAAGTACAGGTCAACAGTTGACAGACACTTTATGTCAAATTAAAGCGTTGATAAAAGCAAGAAGTTACTTCAGAAATACGCGAAAAATGGTCACTGACACATACTGTTTACAAATAAAAACATTTTTATTGTAGAAGAAAAATTCAACTGTCAAAATGATAGAGTTATGCTTGCAATTTTTGGGAAGCTGCTGAAAAAATTTAAAGAGTAGAAAAAGGACACCATCCGGCCTTAATAATGGTTTGATGGTATTATATGAGGGCTTTACTCAACTACCTTTCTATGAACAGGGATTCAAAACACACTCGGTCAACTACCAAAGTAATATTTTAAAAAAGGTAGTGAAACTTTTAAGTGATACCTTGTTTGTAGGAAAGAACTGGATCTTTCAGCAAGATTCAGTGCCTGTGAATAAAGCAAAAACTACACAATGCTAGTTGGAGGTCAATTTACCTAGATTTAGTGCCCATTAAAAGATTGGCCTCAGGAAGTTCAGATTTCGATCCTTTGGTCTACAGACAGTGGAATATTTTAAAAGGAGAAGGTCTACTGTAACTTTCACTAAAATATCGAATCATTAAAAGTCAATTTAGTAAAATTAGCTGCCTCAATACCGTTAGAAGTGGTGTATGCTGCAATAGATAAGTGGCCAGATTGTTTGAAGAAATATATGAATGCAAACGGTAGACATTTCAAATAGTATTTAGTTTTTTTAGTTACTAAGTTAATAAAGAATAAATAACATCAGATTTTTTATTTGTTTTATTTCATTTTTTAAATAAACACCTTTGTATATGGACAGAACTTATGTCAAGATTAAGTAGTTTTTGACAGTTAAATATAGGTTTCAGACCACTATGCAACAGTAAGGAATGTAATAATATTTACAATATTATATCATATTATTAATATTTTTATATTAATAAACTATTTATTTTTTTGTTCATTAATGTTATATTATTTTTTCAATATTATTATTTATATTAATATTATCATTATTTATTAAATATTTTTTCCTATTCAATATTCATAATATTGTAATTTGAATTTTTTTATTCTATAACAGTTCCAGTATCTCATATAGCATGGCATGATGACTTAACATCATTTGCAATAGCTTTTTCTTCTGGTACTATAAAAATTGGTCAGATTCAAAATCCCACTCAACCAGAAGTTTTAACAGTCTGCCAAGTAATAAATTATTAGATCATAAAATAAATTTTATTTTTAATAATCTAATTGTATCATAAATTATTAAAATATGTTTTTAGAGTCCTATAACGACTTTGCAATGGTCTAGAGCTTTTGAAATATTGTCTGTAAGTAATGTAGAAGACTCGAGTGTAAAACTTTGGGTGAAGAAACAAAATTTTTGGGAAATTTTTCATGATTTAAATCATTCTAATGAACCAACATGTGTAGTTTGGTCTCCAGTTGTTGGTAATTAACAATTTTTTTTTCTTCTTTTTATTCTTTTGATGAATATTTAAATACGTATTTGGTTTTTGTAGGTAATAAGGGTTTATTACTCTGTGTTGGAACTGTTGTTGGTACTATTAATGTTTGGTTAATACCAACACCATTTTCCAAGCAAAAGCCAAAAGTTCTCTATTCTTTTCAAGGACATATGTTTAACTCTGTGACTTCAATGGCTATTCATAATAGTGGCCTGGTACTTGCATCTGGTTGTAGTAAAGGGACTAGTGGAGTAGTAAATATTTGGTCACTTTTTGATGGAAGTTTACTTAACACCCACACTGGTTCTGGTGGTGTAGATGATTTATGTTGGATGGATGACCAATTAGGTCTTGCTGTTTGTTTTGCCCGTTCCAAGGTAAATAGGAAAAGGGAAAAATACATTTTAGAATTAAATATTTAACTTATTTTATATTGTGTGGTATAGGATGTTACAGTTATTCAATTTAGTGCAGATAATTTGATGCATAACCGTTTTGAATCAAATGCTCGTAGTGCATTATATAGACGAAGACTTCACGATATTCAATATTTCCGTAAATTTGTCCAATCATTGCCTGAATTATTGCAGCTTCAAATGAATCATGAAAAACATAAAGTATTAATGGGTGATCGTCTATTATATAGTGATTACTTAAAAGGCCTTATTGCCATTGCCTTAGAAATTTGGCCAGATCAAACTTTTTGCTTCCCTTTTGTGCCACCTAATTCGAGCCACAGTATTGAATTTTGTGAGTGAAATTATCAATTTTAGAGTACAAAATATCAAAATAACTTAATATTAAGTTTATTAATATTAATATTAAATTATAATATTTGAAATAGATGAAGAATGGCAATGGTTGCAAAGATTAATAATGGTTTTAAATACATCAAAAGCTTTGTTAACAAGGAAAAATTTTCCTGAAACATTTATTAATTATTTTTCAAGTGACATTAACGGTATGGTAAACCATTGATTAAATATAAATGATATATAATAAATATATATTCATTTATTTATTTATTTATAATGATTTATATTATTTAGTATTAATCACACCATGATGTTAATAATAAACAAATAAATTATTACATTAAAATTTTTATAGTATGTTGATATAATTTGGATAAAAATACTTTAAATTTATTGGATTACAATATATAATTGTTTGGGAATCACTGCCTATGCAGTGATTCCCTAAAAAACAAACACATGTATAACAACCGTCGCCGTTGAAAGCACCTAACCATTGTCACCGAGATTTTTCACTTTAGTTTTTGTTTTCAATTGATTTTCTCATATAATTTGTTTTATTATTTTGTTTAATTTTGATGCGTTTTATCATGTATTGTCAAGACCTACTTCAAAATTAAAATTGTACATCCAGCAATTATCAGGCCAGTTTTATTTTATTTGTATTGTTCATTATTTATGAATTTGTTTTAATAATTTGTTTTTTATATTATTTTGTTTGATTCGCCCTCAATTGATTGTTCCTTTAAGCTTAAACGCTGGTCAACAAAATTAAAATGTTCTAATTTTTAAGTTGTATTCTTTCTTTAATAATGAAGTAATTAAAGCGTTCTAAAAGAAAAGTTGGTTAATTTTTCCTTTCAATCATACAGTCCACCACATCGAAAGAAAAATAATTGAATAATTCTAAATAATAATATATTATGAAATAAAGTCATTTTGATTTATCCTATCCATGAAATTAATTTATGATTATAAATATAAAATTGTATATTATTATAATTTAGAAGAGAATTGTGACTCTTATTTGTGGTTAGAAGCTATTAATAATACCACATGGACATTTGAAGCAGATAAACAAATTGTTCAGTGGTTCAATACAACACCTCATGACTGGCAACCTTACACAAAATGTGATGCATACCTTTGGGGAAATGGACGTAATGGACAATTGGGAGAAATAGGTGGGGTTTTAATTATATTATCTATTTATTAATAATAAAAGTTTGATTATAAATCTATAGATAAATATATTTTTTTCATATTTTAGCTGTTGGTCAATCTTTATGGTCTCCAAAACATATGCCTAATTTTAAAATAGCTCAAAGAATTATTTGTGGACAAAACTGTACATTTGTATTGACTAGTCAGGGTACAGTCTTCTCTTGTGGTGAAGGAAATTATGGTCGTCTTGGCCACGGCCATTCTGATAGTTTACCCAACCTTACTATGATATCAGCCTTGCAAGGATTTGTAATAATTCAAATTTCTACTTCTATTGGTTCTGATGGTCATAGCCTAGCTTTAACAGAAACTGGAGAAGTTTTTTCGTGGGGTGATGGTGATTTTGGAAAACTAGGACATGGAAATAATGAACGACAGCGTAAACCAAAACTTATTGAATCTCTTTATGATGTTGTTGTTATTCAAGTTGCATGTGGACATAAACATAGTGCTGTATTATCTCGAGATGGTGAAGTTTATGTATTTGGTAGTGCAGAACATGGAAAACTAGGGCTTGGAGGCCATACTAATAAGAAACGGCCAACTAAAATTATTCATAAAGGCTTTCTTAATGTCAAAAATGTTGCATGTGGACAAAATCATACTGTGTGTGTTGGAGAAAATGTTGTATGGTCATTTGGTGAAGGAGAAGGAGGAAAATTGGGGATCGGAAATAAACAAGATAGTTACATTCCACAAGTAATAAGTTTTTTAATTACACAGACTGTTTTTTAATTTAAATTTTTTTATAGCTTATTGTAAGTTTGACTGGTAAAAATATTAAAAAATCATTTTGTGGAAACCGGTATACTTTATTCCTCTCTGAAGATGGTGAACTTTATTCATGTGGAATAGACAATTTAAATGATGCACAAGATACCATATATCAAGAAAAATTATACCCAGAAAAGGTTCTCTCATTTTGTTTAAATAATAAATAACACAATAATAATTTAAATGTATACAATATAATTTTTATTAATATATGTATTTGTAGATTTTTGAGTTTCAAGGGCACTTTGTTAAAGATGTAGCTACTGGTCCTGATCATGTATTAGCTTTGACTAATTCTGGTAATGTGTGGGCTTGGGGTAATAATTGTGAAGGTATTCTTGGATTTGGTCACAATTTACCTGTTCATAAACCTGAAATAGTTAAAATTCTATCTGATAAAAATATCCAACAAGTAAAAGTCTTAATCAAACTTCTTTTATACTTATAGCTTATATTTTTAAAATTATTTTCAGATAACTACAAGTCGTACTCATTGTGCTGCATGGACAGCAGAACCTCTTGTAAGTGAATCTACAAATATTTTTCATAAAGATTTACCTACATCTATACCTTATCAATATGGTCATTTACAAGACTACAAAGTGAATGCAATAGCTGCTAGAATGAAATGCTTACAGCAGTTCTCTAATATACTGTATACCTGCTGGCAGATGATACCATTTAATTCTCCCGTAAGTGAACAATACAACAAATTCTCTGATTTTTATTTGTTCTCCTAAAATAATAGTGAAATATAATTTTTAAAATTTGCTACACACTACTTATAAATAATTTTTTTTTTAATATACAAGGTGATTTATTTATCATAACCCACTCAATTACTTACAGAATAAATATATTTAAACATTTATTTTTTTTTACATATATTTTTTATATATATTTTACATATATTTTTTTTTGGTTATCTTTAGTTACACATTATTCTTGAATTATTAACTATGTAATACTTTTTAAAATCATCCCTTATACCTTGTAAGGGGGTCAACTTTTTGAGTTTTTAATTTAATAGTAAATAACATTTGAATTTTTAATATAACTTTATTCATTTATTTGATATAAACATTTAAAGTTTCAATTTTTTGAGTTAATATACATGTATAATACACAAGGTTTTACAAATACTGGTAGCTAAATAGTTTTTTATGACATCGCTGTCACAGTCACGGATTGTTTATTATCAATTATGACTATCAATAGATAGACTTTTTATATAGTCAGTTAGTGTATTTATGACCTCACAACAATGTGCCTTACTACCATTGATAATAACAATGCTGTGTACCTGCGAATATTGATGTCATAATAAACCATTTAGCTACCTGTATTTGTAATACCTTGTGTATTATACATGTATATTAACTCAAACATTTGAAACTTTAAGTGTTTATATCTAATAAATGAATAAAGTTATATTAAAAATTCAAATGTTATTTATCATTAAATTAAAAACTCAAACATTTTATTAAATTAAAAATATGTGTTTCCATTTAAAAAAACAAAGTTGACCCCCTTACAAGGCATAAGGGATGATTTAAAAAAATATTACATAGTTAATAATTCAAGAATAATGTGTAACTAAAGATAACCAAAAAAAAAAAATGTTTAAATATATTTATTCTGTAAGTAATTGAGTGGGTTATGATAAATAAATCACCTTGTATAGTATTAGACAAATGTATTGGGGTTGAATCTAGTGGAGAGTATTAGGATGTAACATGAAAAAATAGTTATGAACACAAAAAAATGTACTTATATGTAGGGGTGCTCCATATATAGGGATGAAGTTAATTTTTATTTTTATTTGAAGCTTTTTTTTCTAAAACTGTGCTTTTTACTATAGCTATATGAATATAGTTAATTTGAGACTATTAAAACGTCATATTTACTTAATATTGAGTAGTTTAATATTCACAGTGATGTAGTTAAGGGGTGGGCTACAGTGGCTATAGCAAGGACTGAATCTTAGTGTGGTATAGAAGTAAAATACTTCTTCATGAAAACTATTTAAAGTTGAAATTAAGTACAAGTTAATGACTTTTTTTTTGCTTTTTATATTTTCATGATAAATAATAAATCACCAAATTTGTGTATAATAAACTCCTAATAAAATCTAGAATTTTGTCCCTAGCTCTATAGTTCTCTTCACTCTTCAAGTTAAATTAAATATGTTTTTGTAGTTTTGATAAATTGTCAAATATTATATTTTACTAAATTTGAGGTATCAGTTTGTTTTTATTTCATTATAACATAATGATATTATATTATATCTTTACTAACATAATGATAGAAAACATGATTATTTTTATTTCTGTCTTAAATTACTTGTCTTATTAATAAAGAAGAGGCACCAAATAATAGAAATAATCTTTTGAATACTTAATATTATTAATTTTAATCTAATATCTATAATATAATTTTTAGACAATTTTTGAGGTACATTATCAGACCATACTCTACTTTAATATTTATCTGATACCTCCAGTTTCACAACAGTAGTGACTGTATATAATAGTATTTAGTTTAGAAATGTATCCCAAGCAAAAATCCTAGCCATATTACAACTCATTTATACTTGTGTTAGGAATGTGTGTTTAGTGAAATAGAAAATTATTTTTATAATCACAAATATAAATGTTTATACATTTCAGGATTTTGATTGGAGTAATATTAAGCGATGGCATTGGCTATCAGATAAAAGACTAAAATGCTTATTTACTAATAAAATTGTTAAACTTCCATTAATGAAAGTAATAAGTCGAACAATGAATCAAGGACAAAATTATGGGCCACAAATTATTGTTAAACGTCTAGGTAGTAATGGTGCAAATATTTCTATTTTTGAACAAGTGGCTAAACAAATTGTTAACATCAATCCTGAATTATTAAGATTACCATCAAGAGCATGGAAGGTAATATTTATAAGCTTTTAATTAAAGTAATAAAGTTAGTTTTTGTTATTAAAATAAAAAAAATTTTCAGTACTATATTTAGATATTACGGAGATCAATACAAAAATGTTTTTGTGGGGTCCTTTTTATTATAACTTTTCTTTTCCTTGATATCTACGTTTGTGAAGTCCTTTCAATGCAAGGCTTTTAGATAAAAAAAATTGTGGTTTTGCCTTTCCTGCAGGCCTGTTATATTTATTAAAATAATGTTTGTTTGTGTCATGTTTTCCTCTACAAACTTTCTCATTTACTTTTAGACTATCATGCTTTGGAAATCAACCTTTGAATTATATTTAACTTTTCATTTTGTTAATTAATTGTTTTAATATTCCCAATTCAGCCTCCCTTATGTTATTACAAAAATTATTCCCTTCATCCATTAATCTGGTTTTTTGATAATAAAATAATAATTATTATTTGTTATTTATTGGGACGATGTTACCGAGTGGGCAATGTGACAGTGTCTTATGTGTGCTATCTTGTGTTTAAGACTTTGTCATAAGTGACCAAGTTTGCTGAGCCAAAGATTAGTCAGTAATTGGAGTCGCCATCCCTTTCTTTGGTAACGGAATAAATACTAATTCCAGGATATTTATGGATAAAAAACTTTCACTTAAGTGGCAATGAGTAGTAAAGGCAAAAATAAATTATATTGTATCATCAATAATGTATTTAGTCTTTGTATTATTAAAATTTTATTGTTTCTCTTACCATATAACTAGGGCTAGGAATTATATGCTTCTATAAATTTTATAAAGTTATTTTGAATACATCATCAGCCAGTATAAATTTTTATTGATTAGAAAATTTAGTGACTAATGGTATATAATTTATTTTATTTTAAACTTCCCTGATTAGTTTCTAAACTATAATAATTTCTTGTATTGTAGGCTTCAATGAAAAAAAATTATATAATTGTAAATTATAATATAAAATAATTAAATAAGTATTTGATTTAAGCATTAATATTATATTTTATGTATTCAGGTAAAATTAGTCGGAGAGGGAGCTGATGATGCAGGAGGTGTGTTTGATGATACAATTGCCCAAATGGTTGAAGAACTTCAAACACAAACAATTAAATTATTAATATTGACACCAAATGGACGTAATGAAACTGGTTATAATCAAGATCGCTATTTGTTTAATTCAAAAATGAATCAGTTAAAACATCTACAACTGTTCCAATTTTTAGGTCAGTTATCATATGTGTTACACGTAAAGTAAAAAATATTAGTACAGTGGTGACGTGGCATAGTTGGATCATTTATAATGATATCTGACAGTGATTAAAATCATTATAAAAAAAAACGCTTCGGTGCAAATCTTTAGATAGTGTTTAATATTAAAAAATTGGTGGATTATTCCAAAAGTTACATGATCTGCTAGTTCCTTATTAATATCCTGATTAAGATAAAGTATGTCAAATGAAAAAGGGATTATTAAAAATATTTCTCATAAAAAAATTGTGTTGATCCATACATTTTTAAAAAAGTTATAGCATTTTAAAGTTAAAAATGTAAAATACAAAATCGAAAATTTTCACACAAAAATAGCATTTGGTAGCCATTTTCACCCTGAAGATAAATTAAAGTCCGAAATTTTTTTTTTCATAATAAAGTATATTACATTAGCTTTAATTTGTGATATATATAAAAGTGTCACACTTTCCAGAACACTTTCAAAAATTAAGTTGAAAAAGTTAATTTTTTGTGAAAAAGTTGTCATTTTAAATCCCCCCCTTTAGGCAGATAAAGGGTTAGATTTATAAAAAAAAATATACCAAATGATAGGTAAAGACATCAAGCATATATGAAAAAAAAATTATATTGATTTGTTCATTTTTAAAAAAGTTATGGCAGTTTTAAGAAACAAAAATTGAAAAAATTTCGAAAATTAACGATTTTTAAATTTGTAATTTTTTTGGAGATTTCCCTCAATTACGGTGAACGAGGGAAATTTTTTCAATTTTTAGGGTAATGTGTTCGACTAGATACGATTTGTGATCTTTTGACGTATATTTGAAAGAAATCCGTTCGGTGAGAGCTGAGAAAAAGTGGTAACAGACACAAAAAAAAAACATAGTAAAACCAATACCTTCTCAGCTTCGCATCGAAGCTAAATATATATATATATTAGGGTGTCCCTTATTTTGAAAATTTTGGAAATTCTTCGGGCTCACCCCCCAAATTTGTGTGTATACATATAAAAAGTGGCTACAAAAAATTTCAGGCCGATCAGATAAGTTTAACCCGTGCCGACTTGGGGTTGAAAATCGGCCAAAAGGGGTACTTTTTTAGTTTTTAGCAATTAACTCGTAAATTAGCACTCTCACAAAAAAAAATATTAAAACTAAATTGTAGATCTAATTGTTTTGTATAAATTAAGTCCTTACAGTTTTTCTTTTAAATCCATTAGTTTTCTAGAAAAATGTCAAAATACATAATATTTCGTAAAATTGCCGAAATTAGCATATTTACGAATATTTTATCATATATGACGAACCATATGTGATACGACCTAATGTTTCATACAAAAATTGTTTAAAATTAAATTTTGCGAAATAAAAGTATTAAGTACAAATTTCATTGAACCGATCGTTTTATTGCTATAGCTGAATTAACTCGATCATATTACGATTTTTACTAAATATATGAATTTTATTGCTTAATTTAAATATATTTCCTTTATATTGTAAAGTGATGTATTTGTTTGACTTAAACTCATAATGATACTTACTTCTCAATATTATTGTATAAATTAAAAAAAAGTTACTATATAAAATACAAAATGTTAAATTCAAAATAATTCACAAATTATAACAAAAATATACATTAAAAACTATGTTTTAATGTTTTTTTGTTGCAATTAGGATATAATATTCTATGCTCTTGAACACACAGTGTAAAAGTAACTCAGCTTTTTCATCGTTTACAGTTAAACTTTCATGAAAATCTTCCATTACCTTAACCGCTTTATCTGCAGAGTCATTTACTACTTTAAGTGAACATACAATTTCTTTTTCGTGTAAATAAAAATTATCAGTATTCCAATTACTTGGATCCAAATTTAAAAAATTAGTATTGATATCGAATCGTTTGAAAAATTTCATACTGCTTTTTGACAAAAAAGAAGCTACAGTTTTTCCTAAAAAAAAATATCAATCACTCAATAGTCATCAAAAAATAAAGATATCAAAAATTATTATACCTGAAAATGATTTGTCAATATGACTCGATGAAAGAATAAAACGTTTACTAGGGTTTATTATTGACTCATTATTAAGGGATACAACCATTAATTTTTTTATTTCGGTTGAAATGGAATCGTCCATTTCCCAGAAAATATTACACTCGCGAATAGTCAATACTGCTTTTGCTCTTATAGTAAGATTAACAATTCTTAGGTTATAAAAAAAAACTTTTAGAACTTGTCCAATGGATGGAAGTTTTGAACCTAAAATTTGAGTAGTCGAAGACCCTATTAAAAATATTTTATTGTCATTTCTTAATACTACGGACATTTTTACGTAAACTAAAAGAAAAGCACAATAGGAAGCAGTTCAACTTAATACGCGATGTGAGCGACTAAAGTGGTATAAGTATAAGTTCACTACATCTATTGCTGCGATTTGTAATAAATTTACGATTTCCAGAGTTATTTATAATTTAAAAATAATAACAATACATTAATTCAGTCATACCATAGTATTATCGCCGTACTTGTACGATAAGTGTTGTAATAAACCAGATGATAACTAACAGAATCTAGCATTAAAATTCATATATTTAGTAAAAATCGTAATATGATCGAGTTAATTCAGCTATAGCAATAAAACGATCGGTTCAATGAAATTTGTACTTAATACTTTTATTTCGCAAAATTTAATTTTAAACAATTTTTGTATGAAACATTAGGTCGTATCACATATGGTTCGTCATATATGATAAAATATTCGTAAATATGCTAATTTCGGCAATTTTACGAAATATTATGTATTTTGACATTTTTCTAGAAAACTAATGGATTTAAAAGAAAAACTGTAAGGACTTAATTTATACAAAACAATTAGATCTACAATTTAGTTTTAATATTTTTTTTTGTGAGAGTGCTAATTTACGAGTTAATTGCTAAAAACTAAAAAAGTACCCCTTTTGGCCGATTTTCAACCCCAAGTCGGCACGGGTTAAACTTATCTGATCGGCCTGAAATTTTTTGTAGCCACTTTTTATATGTATACACACAAGTTTGGGGGGTGAGCCCGAAGAATTTCCAAAATTTTCAAAATAAGGGACACCCTAATATATATATATATTGATTTTTAAATTTACTTTTACAATTATTTTAATAGGTATATTATTTGGTGTTGCTATAAGAACCAAAAAACCTTTAGCACTTCCTTTGTCACCATTAATATGGAAAATGATTATTGGAGAATCATTAAATATGTCTGATCTTGAAGAAAATGATACTTATTATGCTCAAAACTTAACTAGTATACAAAATATTCACCAGACTGGGGTGACAGAAGACAATTTTGAAGAAGTATAATTATATTAGTTTTATTGTTCTAAACACTCATGTTTGAATTCAATTTTACAATTTTATTATAACTTCATATGATTTGAATACTTAGGTTATACCATATTTATGTATGACTGGTACAAGTTGGACAGAACAAACTGTTGCTTTAATTCCAAATGGTCATTATGTACCTGTTACATATTCAAACAGACTAAAATTCTGTGAATTAGCATTAAAACAACGGTTCCATGAAATGGATGAACAAATATTAGCTGTTAGAAGAGGTCTTGCTGCTCTTGTTCCATTACCATTACTTACGTTTCAAACTGCTGATAATTTAGAACGCATGATTTGTGGACTACCTGATATATCAATACCAGTATTAAAGACTATTGTTAGGTATTTTTATTATACTATTGTAAAAATTATACACACTACTTTACATTTTTCTTCAATATCTCATTTTTTTAAATGAAGATATAGAGAAATGGATGAAAACTCACAAGTTGTTCAGTGGTTATGGGAAATTTTAGATGGATTTCAAGATTCTGAAAAAGTGTTATTTTTGCGTTTTGTTTGTGGGCGATCTCGTTTGCCCTCAAATTTATCTGACTTTTCTCAACATTTTCAAGTTTGAAAAATTAAATTTTCATATAATAAACTTTCAAATAATATTTAATATAATTTTTAGATAATTAAAGTTGAAGATAAACTAGATGGCCTTCCAACAGCTCAAACATGTTTTTTTCAATTAAGATTAACTGACTATAGTAGTCAAAAAATATTTGAAGAGAAACTTAAGTATGCTATCAATAATTGTCGTACTATAGATATGGATAATTATATGTTGTTTCGAAATGCAGATGTTGATTCTGATGAAGATCTTCCATACAATATTTAATTGCAACTACATATATTTAAATATATATGTACATAGATACTTAATTATAAGAAATATTTTAAATGTCTTAATTTATAATTATATGTCTGTTGTAATTAACAAATGATATATTTATAGACATTATAATCGTAGAGAAACTATAATCAAATACCCAAACATGATACCATTTTGTACAAATTTATAAACATATTTTAATGTATGGAATAAAAATACAGTGCAATATTATAATATTTAAGTTTTTTTTTCTCTAATTTTTAAAAAAGTTTGAAAATAAATTAAAAAAGTGCTATTTAAATAATCAATGAATAAAATAAAGTATCTTAATAGAAAATACAAAATATTAACATTTAATATATTTCACAATCGATAAAATAGTTCTTTTTATTAATTATTGATAGATTTATTTGCATCATAAATAAATAATATGAATACATAAAGTGTTCAATATGTTTAGAAACCCACATTTTTAAATAATCGTAAAATAAGTAGAAAAGTGAACTATTTAAAGAAAGATTTTGATGTGATTTTAATTATAAATTTAACTTTATAAAGATGATACTAATTGAAAGGGACGTGCTTAATAAAAAAAGTCAAGGTTCATAGACAACAGAGGCTGCCTTATATCAAAATAATGAAATAATATAAGTAGGGTAAATAGTATCGTAATCGTCACCCATAATACAAGATATTTTTAGATCAATGGCAAAATATATGTAAGAGATTCTTTTTTTAACATTTTTTGTATTTTATTTGTTTTTTAGTTATTTTATTTTATAATAATGTATTTAAAAACATAAGGAGGTTCATGTTGTGCTCTAGCATCAAATCTAAATGTATTGAACAAGACGAAAAAAAGAAAACAAATGTGTCACTCCATAGGTATGTACATTTTTTGTTAACAATAAAACACATAAACTAAATTTCCGATTATTGAAAGGTTAAGTTTATTAAAGTTTTAGATAACTCTTACATAACTTCCTTGGTACTAACATATCATAATGTATTTTTTTAAATACTATAATATTTTTTTTACAATATTTAAATATAACAAGTCTAAGACTTTGTAATAATTGTACTAAAAATGTATATAATAATTAAATAATATAATTTCTAAATAATCAAGTACTTATTTAAAGAATGTAATTTGATATTTAAAGTATGATTTTTGAAAAGCATAATTCTAAATTGATAAATTGAGTTATTTTTTATTTAATTATTGTACTGTTATATATTTTAGTTTTTTCAATTCTATAACTCATCAGTGTTGATAATCATTATAGTCAAAAATTTTGTACTCAATTAATATTAAATTATTAATGAAAAATAGTTATAATTCTGTATTGAAATATTTATAAAATATAAAATATTATAAGCGTTTTAAGGTTTTCAAAATATCTGGAATATTAAAGAAATGAATTTATGCATGAAAGCAAAAAAATAAATGGAATCCTTAAGATTAAGAATGATCATATTACGGAAAAATTCTGGAGTTCTACTTAAGAGTTCCGATACTAATGATAACCATGAAGAATTTTTAGTTGTCCAGTCATTAAAAATAGTAAACATTATGTTATGTAATTTTATGGCAATAAAAAACTAAAGTGATACTTATACAGCTAGTGAAATTGAATCAGAAATAAAAAGTGTAGACAATAATACAAATGAAATGAACCACGATGTAATTGAATAATTACATAGCTGGTGGGATTGCAAAGTATAAGACAATTATGTCAAAACTGGTTAATACGATAACGAAAATAAATAATCAGCATACTTCATTAGGCCATAATTATATTATGCCGTACTATGAATTAATCACCTATCCTATGGTGAATTAATTAATGATTTTAAAACTAACATTAGGATTGAAAAATTGTACATTAAATTCACTAGCAACCAAATTCCGAAAGACCTAAATATAGTGCCAAATTAACTAACTAAATTTTCTCAAGAACGAGTAAAGAAATATAAATGTGTCACATAAACCTACATTAAATAATAAGTATGAAATATTGCAATCACCATATACAAACACTAAAATGAAATATCAAAATTAAAGAAAGTTATAACTAATTAAGTAATACTTCAATATATATAATAATAATATTACATTACTAAAGAAAAACTTATAAAATGTTTTTAATGATTAATATTGAGTTCTTTAATAGTAGGCAGTATGAATATTAATAAGTAAATAATATGATAGGTAGTCTATTTAGCTATTTTTATAACTTACTTTAATGCTAAAGATTTACAGGAATGTTTACATCACAATTAAATTATTTATATCAAAATATATATTTTATTTAAAAGGTTCATTATAAAGGTATTAATTCAGATCTCAAAAGTTTACTACAATATTTATCGTTACATGTTTTATACTACAGCTGATGTTAGATTATCTGTAGAACTATTTATTTTTTTAAGAAATTGTTGGATTATTCCAAAAGCAACATCAACCCTTAGTTATATCCTGATTACTAGTTTTATGATTTGTAAGTATAATTCATGAATAAATACATACTATAAAAATTAAATTTAGTATGAAATTGATGTTCATTATTTTGTATTGTAATTTTCACTGAGAAATTATAAAAATTTATTAAGTAGTTGCATATTTCGTTACCTCTATGGGAGACATGTATCAAAATTATATTAATATAAAGGGGGATAGTTAAATGGGAGTACATCCTATCCTATATGACTATACTTGACTTAAAATATAAGCATAAACTTATAGGACAAATTGAAGTAGTCAATTATAAGAACATGAAAAACGGTGATTTTTTTACATAAAAATAACATTTTTTGTTTAAATTCGGGGATCTTTTACAAATAGAAGACAAATCTTCGGGAATTTTTTTTTTTAACTAATAGTGTGTATCATAAGCTTTAATTCAACATATAACTTAAAATTGGTATTTTCAAAAGTGAATTTTTCATGCAAAAGTTTTTATATTAAATTCTTTCCTGTAGGCAGTAAAGTATTCTTTTTTTCAAAAATTAAACCTAACAAAAAAGACATGCGTAAAACTATCTTTTTATCCTAAAATTTTTTTTTCTAGAATAAAGTACATTACATTAGCTTTAATTTAAGATATATATAAAAGTGTCAGACTTTGCGGAACACTTTCAAAAGTTAAATTGAAATAGTTAATTTTGAATTCTCTCTATGGGCAGGAGGTAAAGGGTCAGGTTTATAAAAAAATTATACCAAATGATAGGTAAAGACATAATGCATCTATAAAAAAAATTATATTGATTTGTTCATTTTTAAAAAAGTTATGGCAGTTTTAATTTAAAAAAATTGAAAAAACGTCGAAAATTAGCGATTTTTAAATTTCCAATTTTTAAAAAAAATCGTATTTTTTTTTTTTCATATATAATATATATTATAAATATCTAAAATTTTAATATAAAAAAATTAAGTTGATTTGTTAATTTTTTAAAAAATTTAAGAAAACAGTTGAAAATTGGAGATTTTTAAATTTGTAATTTTTTTTGGAGATTTCCCTCATTTACGGGGAACGAGGGAAATTTTTTCAATTTTTAGGGTAATGTGTTCGACTATATACGATTTGTGATCTTTAGACGTATCATTGAAAGAAATCTGTTTGGTGAGAGCTGAGAAAAAGTGGTAACAGACACACAAAAAAAAAAACATAGTAAAACCAATACCTTCTCAGCTTCTCATCAAAGTTCAAAAAGTGTATAGGAAATTCAGATGATTTTTCTAATGACTAAAATTTGATAAAAGTTAGATAAATTCAATATAACTGATTTTGAAAATTAATATGGCAATATTAACGTGTGTGCATACTTTTAGAATTGAGTAAAATAATTAGATAAAGACAAGTTGAACTTTTCATTTTACCTTTATAAACTTTAAGTTAGTAGTTACAATTATACAATCCAATAGTAAAAATGTTATGAAAATTAAAATAATGGTACTATAATATTTGTTATGCTAATATGTCTTTTAATCGGTTCTAATAACTATTGTGCAAGTTGGCTAGTTGTTGGGCTTAATTCTGTAATTGTAAAAAGAAAAATTAGTTGTACTGGTGACTGATAAGTGGTCACACCTTAATCTTCTACTTTTGATCTGGACGGTTCTGATAGACTTGGAGATTAATCCTTTAGAGTCTCACTTGTTTGAGGAATTGTTGGAATATTCAAAGAGCCAGAAATGCATTTTGACACTAAATATTAATTTGTATGTGTATTTATGTTGATAGCCAGGTTGAGCAAGCATTCAATGTAAAATCAAGTTAAACATGTTTAAGACATATATTTTTATTTACAGACCATATAAAATGTATTTACATTATTTTTATGTATATAGTTAGAAAAAATCTGTTAACATAAGTCATTTAATGTAGTGTATCATTGAAAAATATGTACACCACAATACAAAAATATACATATTTACAAAATATCATTTTAATACTTTTTTTAAGTATTACTGAGTTGCGCTAAAAAAAAATTAATGAAAATTTTTTATTGTAAAAACTAAGTTATAAAAATTAAAAAAATGAAGAAATAATGATTCTTTAATATTTTTTATATTTAAAGGAATCGGACATTCATCAAAATTGGCTACATACTTACTAAAAAATTTTTTGTTAAGATTTACATGACAATTATACTAAAGTTAGCCATTTAGTATTTAGTCACAATCATTTTGGTTTAGTTTCTTGATCTGTAACATATCTTATATAAACATTGTTTTCTGGAATTGGATCTGGATGCACATCTTGTTCATACATGTAAGAACTTCCAATGGCTAAAGATGTCCCTATAAAAATTAAAAATGATAATTTTTTTTTCAAATAGCAACTAGATGTTATGTTATGTTGATAAAAATTTAATTTTATTTAAACTTTACTTACCATCATGACTAAAACACAATGAGGTAATTCCAGTGTTGTATCGATGAAATTGACACAAACGTTTTTTATTGAATCCATCCCATATGTTTACATAGCCATCAGATCCTCCAGTTGCAAATGTATTGAATCCTTGATGGAAACTTGAATATAAAATATAAAAACATGTATTAATCTGGTTGACCACCGGTAGTCATACTTATATATATATATTAATAATAATATTTATTAATATATCATTTTGGTTGCTAGCGAGTCATAAAAATCGAAAATTTAAATAAAATAAAAAGTGACAAACAAAGTGGTGGTTACTGTATTAAATAAAACAATTTTTTTTATAGAACTTTTTGTATAAAAATATTACCTAATTGCATTTACAGGATAGATACATTCTATATCATTATCTTTAATTCTATGACACTTAAAAGCATATTTTTTCTTTTGAACTTCTGGCGCTGTATCAAAGTATTCAACAGCCACTCGTCCTTCAATACTACTTAATACATAACCTTGCTTATTAGGAGAACATCTTATACACCTTGTTTGGAATTTTAAATTAGATTCTCGTCTCTGCATTATATAAGCTGTATTTCTTAAGTCCCAAACAAAAACTTTACGTCCTGCAGTGCCAACAACAAGTTTTTCTCCTACATTACTCATAGTAAACACCTCAAAAAAAAAAAAAAAAATGTTTTTGTTATTTAATATCAAGCTAATATGATTGTGAATATAACTTAAAATATCAAAAAATTCAATATACATATAAATATATAATTTGAGAAAAAATACTTTATCAGGTTGTGGTAAAGTTCCAACACATTGTGATGCTCTTGTATCCCACATTTTAACATTTCCATCCCATCCACCAGATAACACAACACTCACCTCATTACAATATTCAACACAACGAACTGCATTGTCATGTGATCCTAAAACACTTTCTAAAACACATTAATAAATAGATGTAAAAAAAGTCTTAAAAATAAATCTTATACTTTATTATAGAAAATAATAAGTTTGGACTTTATTTTGTCTTCACGGTGAAAATGGCTATCGTATGCTATTTATTTTATGTTAAAATTCTCGATTTTATATTTTTAACTTTATATTCCTTGTAGACCAGTAAATATTTATAAATAAAAAACATTTTTTTTTTAGTTTCGATGCGAAACTGAGAAGGTATTAATTTTACTATGATGTGTTTTTTTTTATGTCTGTTGCCACTTTTTCTCCTTAAAAATTGAAAAAAATTCCCTCGTTTCCCGAAAATATCCAAAAAAATTAAAAATTTAAAAATCGGTAAATTTTGTCATTTTTTAAATTAAAACTGCCATAACTTTTTGAAAAATAAACAAATCAACATAAATTTTTTTTCTACTAAAACCTTAGATATTTCTCTTTCATTTGATATAATTTTTTTTGGAAATCTAACACTTATTCTGCTCACTGGGGGGATTTAAAATAGTAACTTTTTTACAAAAAATAACTTTTTCAACTTAATTTTTGAAAATGTTCGGGAAATACTGCGTTCTTTAAACATATATCAAATTAAAGCTTATTTTATGTACTATAAAATAAATAAAAAAATTTGTCCCGACGACCTATCTTCTATGCGCAAATGGCTACCGTATTCAAAAATATGCTATTTTAACAAATTTTTGTTTTTTNTATTAACCGTTAAAAATCGAACGCTCAATTAAATTTTTAAATTAAACACTATCTATAGATTTGCATCGAAGCGTTTTTTATGATAGTGATTTTAATCACTGTCAGATATCATCTATACTAGACCCACCTATGCCACGACCCCACTGTGCCGCCACCCCATTGTGCTGGGTTTTTAAGTATTGCATCAAGATCTTCAACTTTTATATACATTTGCCATAAAAGTAATAACTATTTCATAATTTCTCCGTAAAAATTACAATACTAAATTATTGAAATACAAATTCATACTAAATTTAATTACTATAATAAATGTTTATTCATGTATTAGATTTATAAATCATAAAAAAATTTGTAGTCAGGATATAATTAAGAAAATAGTAGTTCATATTGTTTTTGGAATAATTTAACAAATTCTTCTTAAAATCAAACATTATTTACAGATTTGCATCAGAACGTTTTTTATATGATAGTGATTTTAATCACTTTCAGATATCATCTATATTGGACCCAACTATGCAATTTCTCCACTGTGGCACGACCTCACTGTGCTGTGTTTTTTTTTATTAAATACGATTTTATCAGATTATAACAATAATGAAAATATATCATATAAGATTATAAAACTTGATTAACACTCAAAAACTGTTTATTAATATCAAATTTCAAACGACTCCATAAAAATTAATACCTATAGCTCAGAAAATAAATATTGTAAAAGCAATATACATAACGAAAAAAAAGAAAATTATTATAGGGAAAATTGTTTTTTATTGCTACTGTTCATGGAAGTCATTATTTTTAAACATATAACTACTATTCAAATTTTTGATTGAGACTGAGCTTATTTAATTTTTATTAAAAAAATAATGTTTGGAAGTGAATATTTCAAAACAAACATTAGGTATTTATCTGAATAAATATTACAGTTAAAGTTCACTGAATATTTATGATGAAATTTGTTTAAAATTATTCATTATTCATTCCTCAAATTATGATTTAAAACAAAACTTAACTATTACAAAAAGGATTTTTGGAAAATCCAATAATATTTCCACATTGAAACTTGAGATTAAATATTAATTACTACAAATTAAATTTTATAATAACACGTTTAATGTCTTAAGTGAAACTTAAATTTATAGTGTCATATTAACTTATGGCTACTCATTTCTAGTGAATGACATCAATGGCTCATTAATTTTTTTTTAAATTTCTATGACCTAAATGCTTTATTATTTATTTATTAAATGCCAATCGGCAACTTAAAAGACAAATACAAGTAGAATACTTAAATTATATTATAATTTAATAATAGTGATAACAAAATAAATTTAATGAATCTACATAAGTGTATGAGATAACTAGAAGTATGTTGAGTAACTAAAAACTTAATAGTATAATTTGAATATGCCGAACTAAAATTTTAAAAACAGAAACAGAACATATAAAAATAAAAAATTAAATGTTGTCAAAAATTAATTAAAGATTCAAGGAGTTGTTAAGGAGAAAAAACATTCTATGTAGAGGATGATTGTGAAAGAAGTTGATACAATGAGATAGAACCAGGAAAAGAGAATGATTACTAGTAAAATGGACAGAAGCATTAGAAGAGATAAATGAGAGAAGGTCAAGTACATCTATTTGATCCTTAAGGAGAAAAGAGATAGTCTGCATCAACACGACGAGAAACAAGAGTTTGGATATTTCAGTATGATCTAATAGAGGAGTAATCATGAGGGGGAGGGATTGATTTTGAGTAGAAAAGTCGCATATGATAGGAAATGGTTTTAAACTCCCTCTAAAAGAAGTTAGTCCTTGGCCAAGTATGGATGCCATACAACTATTCCATATTCAAGAATGGGATGGGCCAGAGAGAAATAAAGAGAATGTAGACAGGTGGCGAACGTGAAAAGGCTGGTATTGCGCTTTATGAATCCTAGAACTTTTAAAGCTCTACCAACAGTAACATTAATATGGTGTTCAGATGAAAGAGTAGGAGTTAGAAAGAACTCAAGGTCTTTGAAACAAGTAACACAATCAAGTTGAGAACCATTAAGGGTGTAAGGATGAATAAAAGGAGTTCATTTTCTACAAAAATTCTTTATGTGGCACTTATTTAAACTGAGGGTAAGACCAGTTCGATGAGTCAAGATACAAAAAGACTTTAGATCAGATGGAAGCAGAAAGCAGTCAGGGAGAGAGGTAATTTTAAAATAAATTTTAATTTCATCGGCATATAGAAGAACTTTAGAAAAGATAAGGTAACTGTTAATTAAGTCAATATAAAAAATGAATAGAAGAGGACTGAGATGACCTACTTGAAGCAGTTATGGACAATTCAGAGGTAGCGCCATGAACTGTCACAAATTGTATTTTAGAACTAAGATAGAACTGAAACCAGGAGAGTAAGGGATTACCAATGCCGAATGATTCTAATTCCGAAATAAGACGACTATGGATAACTGTCTCAAAGGCTTTTTTAAGTCGGTGAACACTGTGTCAACCTAGCAATCAGACTTAAATTTTTCTAAAATGTATGTTCTAAGAGCCAGGCTAAAAGTAACAGTAGATTTCTAAGGACAAAAACCATGCTGGTTGTCTACTAAAATATGATTAAGATTTCATTTGGTAGAAGAGTATTTAATGGATTTAAACAATTTAGCAATGTGAGAACGTTTAGAAATAAGCCTGTAGTTAGAAATAAGAAAAGGATCAACAGATTTAAAAACAGGGGTAACTGAACAGGTCTTCTACAAAGCAAGAAATAAATTGCGAAAAAGGATAGTAATTTGCAGATTTAAAATCTTTAAAGTATGAGTATTATTGGTTAGTTTGTCAGATAGGAAAAGAAAGATTATATTAAGAGGAGGGTGGTATAAGTTGGGAATAACAAGAGATTAAGAAATTTCAGTCAAGAAATTGACTGCAATTCCATTGGAGCTAGAAAAGATAAGATCTAGAATAGTTCCATGATTATTTGCAAAAGAGTTACACTGAAATAAATTAAGATAAGAAAAGGAATCGATAATAGTTGTGGAAATAGTATTAGTATCATTAGAAGCAATTAATCGTAGATCATCAGACGATCAGGTAACATTTGGTAAATTGTAGGTTCCAAATAAGATAACTGAATGTGGTTTATAGAGCGAAATGACTTGCTCAACAGAAGTAGCATGGGAATCCACTATAGGAAGAGGTGAATATACCATCAATCAATAAGTGGTAAGAGTTGAAGGACAATAAAGCAAATATTTGCGTAACATTCAAGATGTTTAAAGATATAGGATAAAATTTGAAAATAGTCTTAATGGAAATGAGGACTCTACCTCCACAGAGAAAATTACTGTTATTAAAGTTTCTATCAAGACAAAATTACATGAAAGCCAAAAAAACCAAGTTCATTATTACTTATGTTAGGTAATAGCCAGGTTTCCGTAAGGATAATGATTAGCTATAGTTTATGCACTTCTTTAGTTTCTTTATATTTATTTGGCTTCTTAATGTTTTTGATTTTTACATTTCTATAATGTATTAATGTTTTTAACATAAAAAAACTCAAAGATTTTAAAGACTTGTTAAAAAAAAAAAAATTATAAATATTGGCATTATAAATTTTTTATTCTAAGGTGATCTCATGTAGAGTCATTACAGTGATTACTGAAAGAACCTAGTAGTATATAAAGTTCAATAAATTAATTTTTTATTAAAATAAACTTATAAATATTTTACATAATTTTAACTGACATTTTAAAATTAATATAAGTTTGTGAGGATTTTACATCTTAATTTCAAAATAATAAGTTAATTCTTTCCCTTTATTTAGGAGTATATAAAAATACTTACCAGAATTACTATTCAAATCATACATTTTTAATTTATTGTCCAGACCACCACTAAACGAATGAACAGCATCCTTAAACAAAAGTTTCATTGTATGATAAAAATTAAACCTGTTATAATAATTAATTATTACAAATTCAACTATTTTACTTTTATTATGTAATTAACAAGTGAGTAGTTGAATATTTTTATTAATACTAATTTTAGAATTGACTACATTTTATTAGTTTAAATGTAATAATTTAGTTTTTAAAATTTATTATTTAAGAAATTGGTATTACAATAAATATGAATATTATATATACAGAATGATATATTTTTGAGTTATTTAATAAATCAATAATACTATAAATTCACATTTAACTAGAAATATTAAGTAGAATAATGAACAATAAAAAATGGACATATATTTAAAGAAAGGACACAAATCACATTTTGCTAGTTTTCAGGAGACAAAAAAATAATCATTTTACCAATTGGTATACATAACATTAACACATAAAATAAATTTAAATAGTAATCAATTGCTAACAAAAGTTTAAACACAAATAACAATGATAGTAGATTGGTAATACAATTACATATAATGTTAGTGTATAACATAAAAATATCAAAAATTAATATGTTTTTTTTTATAATAATCGTCTATACATTAATATAACAAAGGATTGTACTAGATAAATCTTCAACAAACTTTTATATAGGGAAGTTATTAAAAACAATTTTTATTTATGAATTAATTTTATTAGTACAATTAAAAACATTCATACATAAAAAATATATTGTTATATATATATATAATGAGATAAATTGTACCTGGAAACTGACATCTAGTACAGGTCGGTCATGAGTATATTTTGTACGCATGCTATTAGCTTGAACATCATATAGTCTAACAGAACAATCCCAAGAAGAAACTAACAAAAATTGTGATGAACTAGGACCAAATTTTACTGACGATATTCCATCTTCAGGGGGGTTTTTTAATCTGAATTCCGATCTAGATTCACCGATCATGTTAATAATAATAAAAATTTAACTTAAACTTAAATAAAATAATTTTAGTTTAAATTTTGAAACAATAGTAAGTATCCAAAAAAATTCAGTAACGTCAAGTCACTTTAACAATCGTAGGTTGATAAACAAATTAAAATCTAAATAAACGTTACGATAAAAAATCAAATTCAAAAATTTATTTTGTAGGTTATACCAATGAAACCAGGATCTGATTAATCCTATCAAATAATAAATTACACGGAGAGTCTAATATCCACTGAGTATATCAGTATGCACTATTTGGCGAACTTAAATTTCTCTTTCCTTTGGTATTTGACCGTATACATAATGCCTATGGTTATGTACTATATACAGTTGAAATAAACAATGTAATATTTTAGTTATATCTAGGAGTTTTGGTATAATACAGTCTAAAATTTTAATCAGAAGATTTATAGCTTTCTACTTTGCCTATGATTAAAACTAAATTAAGGTTAATTAAACGGCTTAACTTCCTTGTTATAATTTGATTATCTAGTAAAATTCCCAGAGCTCGCAACTAGATTTAATATCCATTTTTTTTTTTCAGGGAAAAAAAATATTTTGCTATTTTTTTGTGAAAAAAAAAATCATGTAGAATAAATGCAATATTTTAGTAACTATCATATTAACATCGATGCATAACTGAGAAATTGTTGGTTTAACTTTGCTGTGTTTTTTTAGGGGTTATTAGTACAAATTGATCAAGTTTTGCTGAATTAATTTTACTCAAAGATGTGAAAATATCACAAATCATATTTTTTGAACTAGATATTATCAAGTTTAAGCTTCATGTATCATAGTTTTATAAAAAAAACTCTCAATTACTGTAATAAAAGGAAATACTACAGAAAATAACAATTGTTGTAAAACAGTCGATTTTGATAATTTAATTTTTTTATAATAAAATAACTTTTTGGCAACTGGACAGATCAATGCAAAATTTTACTGACAATATTTTAGACATTAATTTTATTGACGACATATTTTTGTTTTGGAAATCCAATCATTAACCAAAGTATAAGGAGGCTTAAAAAGCATATAACTTTTTGATTATGTTCCAAAAAACTTGACTTGTTTAAACTTACATAAAATGAAAACTAATAAAATTTATTTTAAGATATAAAAAAAAAACTATATAAAAACTTTATTTCTAGGAATTATTGGACATTTATGCAAAATTAAAATCATGGTAAAAATATCCGATTTTGTAGTTTTTTCCATAGTGAATGAATATTTAATTAATTTAATAATATTAGATTAAATCTTATTTAAAGTGTTATATATAGTACTTTTATAAAAAAAATATACGTTCCGTTGGCTTGTTCTCTATGATTAATTGATGTCAAAAGTCTAAAATAATGTCAGTTTTGGTGAATATGATTAATTTTTCTTTGTTTCAAATATTTTTATTTAATTTCACCGCATAAAAGACTAAAATTTAATCATTAAATAAAACAAGCTAAAAAGATATTCCAAAGTCTAATGTAGAAAACGGAGCTCAATTTGTACTTTAACAGAAATAAAAATTTTGGGAGATCTTATTAATTTCTCTCTTCTCTAAAAAATATTTTTGTACAATTTTAATAATTTGTTAAATTTTTAGAGGTTTTCCTGAGTCTTCCCATGCAATGCTTGTGTAAAAGGTGCTAAATATAAATTTGTCGGTGTTCTGAAACCTTAAATACGCTACTGGTCTTATGATCATTATTTTTATAATTTGAAGAACTTAAGTACGTAATATTACTTAAGTATGTAGGTATAAATCTAATAAAAATACAAATTATCAAGATACTCTTATAATTGATTTTATAATCATTTATGATTTTAATAAATTATACACATTTCTAGCTTAGTAACGGTTTTTTTTATCTTAACACTTTACCGTCAGTTCAAAATGCGTTTTGAATTTTAATTAAGATAAGATTAGAATCACTGAAGTATTGTTAATCACAAATAGTCGATTCTTAGTGAATTTTGTATATTATTATTACTCCATAATACTTCATACAGTATATTTGATTAACAAATAAAACTACTGACTATTATATGCTTACGTACTAAGGTTACACAGTACATTAGTAACAATAGAAATAAACGATAATTTGTCAGTAACACTTAATATTAAATTTAAGCTATTGAAATATTTATCAGACGAGAGCGCTGTAAATAATAGCCGGTATATATAGAGATTTGGATGAAGTATAAACAAGTATTTGATGAAGTCAAAGTACAGTTTATACATTTACACATAATTACTATTATATTGTTATCAATATCATTACTACTTTTATTCTGCTTGATATAAATTTTCATAATAGTATACGTTATATTATCAAATAATACCTATTACCACAAGGCTTTTGTAATAATCTTCTCAGTTGCCGTTTTCATTTCATCGTGTTGTAGACGTTATTTAAACTTATCAAAATTTTCTTGCGGAAAAACACATTTAATTTCGTACACCTACCTCGTGTTTTCTATTCAGGTTAATATTTAGTTAAATCATTGAAATCATAATATCGTTACAACTGTTCAATTTCAAGTGAAAAATTCGGTGTGATTCTTAAAAAAAATCTACAGTTAAAGATCTTACTATAAGTAAGTTGAATTAAAACATTTTTTAAAAATGAAGCTGAAGGATGTGGAGTTTGCGCCCTTGTGCGTACCCCTTAATAGAAGACTAGAAACGTTGGCTGCTGCTGCATGGATTCACTTAATCTTTTTTGGAGGTTTAACAGGAAGCTTGTTTCTCTTGTACGTAGTATTGGCTACTCGATTTTGGTGGTTGGGCCTTATGTATGCAGCTTGGATTTACATTGATCGAAACAGTGCATCTTCAGGAAATTTGAGGTAAAATTTTAACTATTCATTAGGCCATATTAGGTGCATTTTAGCACTTAAAGTTACAAAAAATGCAGAGAGGATTATTGCCCCTAATTTATCTTGAGCGTTTATACGGTTGCATACATTACGAATATATTAAAAAAAAAAACGCTGATTAATCATCGAGAAAAGTAAAGAGACCGAGTTTATCTATGTCTCCTACACTTTAAGCCTCGAGTGTAATTTCATATTAAAAAAAATCGCTAATTTTAATTGAGTGCCCAAATAATCACATAAAAATTATTATCATTTTAAAAACTGGTGAAAATAATTTTGAATAACAAATTAAAACCTTCTTTCGAAACTATTACAATATTAAGTTATTTTATCTTTTTTTTTTAAGTATTTTTGAAATACATGAATTATGTAATATTATACACGGGTATTTTATTGAAATAATATTCGTGAATCGTTTTTAATCTTTATTAACGTTGATGTACATACAGGTTGGACTGGACCACTGTATTACAGTACAATTAGTCTGTAACCATTTTATCTACGACCAAAGAGCGGACGGCCGGTTACAAGTACTGGGAAGGTGCTGCCATTTTTAACAATTCAATTGTATTTCTTTCATTATTTTAATATTTGATTGATTCAACAATATTGTTCAACAATTATTGAAGAAATGTTTAGAGGGGCTAGAATAATTTAAATAATATAACCAGGGGGCTTACATTATTATAACTACAATAATTTAGTGGTTTATAACATATTAAAATTTATTTCAATTACTTGAAATAATTCGGAAAAAATGAAATAAAAATGTTCATATTCACTATTATAATATGTATTATTTATTATGTATAATAATTAAAATAAAAAAAATATATACTAGAGTATAATTATAAATATATTAGGAACTACTAGTTTCTTCTACAAACCATCTACAGATTACTTTTAAGGTAAAATTTTTTTTTTCCAACACAGTGGATTTAATACCCCTCAGTCCGCCTTTGTGTACATAATAAAATCATTGCATCTAAATAATAATCAATAAATTACAATATACAATAAATTTGATTATTTGATGTTCCAAAAAATTGAAAATTAAATTGTAATAACTGTGGATATTAATGTTAAAATCATTTTATCGTTAACTTTTCTTCGTCTTATATCATTGATTAATGGATATCAATTGTTACAACAATAAAAAATCAATAATACAAATTGAGTATAGAACTTGTTAACGTAATGTAAAATTAACGATTACCAACATCAAATATAAAATAAATAATTTGTTTGTACATTCTCATTTTCTTAAATATTATTTTAAATAATAAATTGTAGGTATTAATTATTAATCATGAAAATTTTTTTAACAATTTCTTTTAAAATGTCTTCATATCAGAACATTGAACAAATTTAGATATTTAGTGAGCGAACCAGAATTCTTACAATGTTTAACACAAAATAAGTATACAATTACATTATTATTAAATTTCCTTTGTGGGTAGACTATAATATAGTATATTATATTATATTATAATATGATAAATTGGTCAACAATAGATATTTATATTCATATCGTTTTGCTTTATTTTTGATTAATTTTATATTTTATATCTGATCATTTAAAATTACATCTAGTTCTTAAAATGATTTAAATATATTTATGGAAAGGACAAGAACCGGACTATTATGATAAATTACATAAAGCTAGTTGATTTTTTACACTAGTAAAATGTATAACAAAAATGTCGTATAGTTTATTTTATTATTCTTAAAAACTGGGCGATAAAATTGTCAAAAAATACTACTACAAGTATAAGAAACAACACAGTGAGGATCCAACATATACTATTATAGATTAAAATCTTCTTAGATCAGTTTCGGAGCTAAAAAGAGAATCATAATGACTAATAAACATCGCTATTTTACGAAAAACATTTTTGACCAAAAGTATCTTCTTTTTCCTCACCTTTATCCCAACTACTTATCCACCCTTATCCTCAAGTTCCACTTGACACGATCTCCCATATCATATATACACATATCAGCCGTCCTCATATCTCATTTAGTAACATCCCTACACTTCTTTTTTAGTATTCCTCTACATCTTCTTCCCTCAACATTCATTTCCATAACCGTTCTTACAGATTTTGATTCCTCTCTTCACAAACATGACTAAACCATCTAGGTCTATTTTCTCTCATCTTATCTACGATTGATACTATACCCATACTCCCTTATCCTATCTTTATGACAAAAAGTATGTATAAGTTTATGTTTTAATAGCTTCATTATGAAGCGATTAAGGTAATTACTATCTAGACGCAGAGGTGATCCTAGTGATTACTTTGTGAGAGTAAGAAGTAAATTTTGCCAGATGTTGGCGATAAATTTGTCGACATAAGTACCATAGTGAGTAAAATAGTCTACAATTCATTTTAAAAGTGTCGACTAGTAATTATTTTAATGAATGTGGGAGGGCGAACCCAGTTGTCCTTCTATAAATCATTCCAATCAAGACGCTTTACAATTATAATTTATTACTAATTAATAAAATAATTATTTTTAAATAATAAATAAGTAATAGTTATTAGTTAAATTAATAAATATATATTTGGATAATTGAGGATAAAATAAGCATTTATAATTATTTTTTTATATATAGTTCTATCCTTTCTTTTTCCCTTTAAAATTGTATCATATTTAATTTTTTAAACGAAAACGTGTATGTTTAATTTGGTTATAATTAAGAAAATAACTGGTTGATAAAAAGTTTTGAACCAATATTTTGAATGTTCTTGCTCTTGCATATCAAAACGGGAGGAGTAATGCAGTCCATAATTGTCTAAAGATAAAAATAATACGACTCGCACTTCATCTCCAGTCGTTTTATTAAAGTGTTAATAACTTTCAAAATATTAATTCAAAAGTTATTATCGTCCAGTCATTTTCTTATTTGTAAACCAATTAAACGTGTATGTTTTCATTTAATAAACTAAAGATGATAAAATTTAAAGAATGGAATAAGACTATATTTTTTTGAGTTAATAGTCCTACTGTGTGTAGGATATTAATAACTTCTGAAAAGAAAACAATGATATTTTATCTTAATCTTTTGAAGATATTGCGTGAGAAATGGTTAGCAGATTACTGTATATTAATTATCTAATATTTTTATAGATTTAAAAAATATAATAAGAATAATAAATAAATTTTGCCAATGAATTATTTACATAAATATTTACATGTATTTTTATAGAATAACTATTCATCAACTGAACTTAGTAAAATTAAACGTGTTTATAATTATTATATTTAAATTGTATATTTATTTTTGGATACGATCGAGCTAAAAGATCACTGAACAGTCCTTAAATTAAAACATATAAAATTAAATTACATTACAAAATACGAATTATATTATTTAGAGTATATCTTTGATGGGATTGGATTGAACATATTTTTAGCACGTATAGAGTTCTATTGCATACTAATGAGATTGGATGTCAAGTAGTTTACGTATTATTCATTTGAATTGTCATACATTATTTGTTCTAAAAAAATTGATTATAAGGAAAAAAATTAATTGTCTTTATATATTTATATTTAAAACTCATTAAATAAATATTCTAAATACATAATAGTTAAGCTATTGCGTTGATGTAGATTCATTTTTTTTTTAATGTACTCAGCATTTCTGGATTTGATATAAATCTTTAAAAATTATAATTCTTTTGAATAATATCACATTATATATGATAGCAAAAATGTTGTGTATTTAGTTATCTTTATTTATTTGTTTATTAGGTTTGGTTTTGTCCGCAATTGGACTTGGTGGTATTATTACAGAAGGTATTTCCCCGTATCTTTAATTAAAACTCATGATCTTCCTGCTGACAAAACATATCTGTTCGCCACTTACCCACATGGAATGTTATGCTCTGGAGTATTTTCTAATTTTGCTACAAATGCAAGTCCTTTTAGAGAATTGTTTCCCGGGCTCAAATCGTTTCTGATTACACTCAATCTTCACTTCCATTTGCCATTTACCCGAGAACTTGGTCTTGGATTAGGTATGGTATCTTTGTCGAGAATTTATAAAAATTCTTAATAAATTAATTTCATATTATGTATACATAATTTTATTTTTGTATTTTAGGTCTTCGAGAATGTTCAGAAAAAAGTCTTGTTAACATATTAAATGGTAATAAGGGTAATGTAGCTGTATTAATGGTAGGGGGTGTTTCTGAAGCTTTCAAGTCTTTTCCCGGTCCTATTCAAATCATTGTTAATAAAAGAAAAGGATTTGTTCGAGTTGCGTTGAAAACTGGGTAAATACATTGATTGGAAAAATAATTATTTTTAATGAATTTTTAATGTCTTTCGACGAATTGAGCAGTGCATCCTTAGTTCCGGTATTTTCATTTGGTGAAAATTATGTTTACGCAAAAGGTGAAGCACCACCAGATTCTTTTTGGGACAAAGCATTGAAGTTGGTTAAATGGAAAGCCGGTAGACTGGTTCCAGTTGGCCGAGGTCTATTCCAGTACAGTTTTGGAATAGTACCACGAAGACATCCAATCTTCACTGTTGGTGAGTACTCATTAATTTTTTCTAAATTTTTGATGGTAATATTGATAGCTAATTTTTTGTAAATTATTACTTTAATTTTTATATCACTGCTTAAAATGATAATATTTTAAGCGTATTTATGTAATTCATTATCAATATTTTGAATGTACGTGCATTATAATGCACCCATATTAATCTTAACAACGTATTTTATGTGTATGATTCATTAAAACATATAATTATACTTTTTTTGTACCGATGGATTTGTATATTGAATATTACATATTTATATTAATGACTAATAGTATTTCATATCTTTAAATATGTTATAGATATCATTTTTAAATGCATAATAAACAATTAATTATTTTAAAATTACCATTATTTAGTAATAATTCGTGCTATAGTTATTAACGATTATACAGGGCGATTTTTTAACTGACTCATGCAATATATTAAAAAATTTAAATATAATATTATTTTTTCTTTTCAAAAGTTATAAATATCCTACATTATAATATTAAAAAGAAATATATTTTTGAATATCACTAGTCAATAACAACTTTTGAACCAGTATTTTGGAGGTTATTAACACTTTTATATAACGACTAGAGGTAAAGCTAGGGTTTTTTTGCTTTTATATCGAGTCATTAATCGTACTATTCCTTCCGACTTATTATAAAAATTCTAACATCTTTTAAAATACTAACCGAAAAGTGAATATTGAACAGTCATTTTCTTAGATAGATAATTTATAGTTTGCAAGTAGGTTAAACATGTATGTTACTGTTTAAAAAAATAAAATTGATCAAATTTTAAGGTGAAAAGAAAGGGGATAGGACTAAACTGTTTTCTGAAAATTATAGAACGCAAAATATTATTATCTTCTGAAAAAAAAAATTATATTATATTTTATATTTTATAAATAATATAAGAAAAATTACTCTGTATATACAAATTTTATGTCCAAAGTCTCTAACTCAATTAATTTAAATATAACCTAATCAATAATATGACCTTGGAGCATATTTTTATTTCAATGAATTTGATCAATTATTATTTTTGATTAGTGTTAAAAAGTGTATATTTTTTTTATAAATATATTATTGGGTAAATTTAATGTCTATATAAAACTCATTAATGAAAAGAATTATTTACTTAAAACAACGAAATTAACCTCAAACGGTTAACTTATAAATTCTAACTGATATAATTTATTTTATATTAAATTATATTATACGTAAAATTGTTTTTGTTTTACTATAATCAATAGCAAAAGATAATTTTAAAAAGAAATCATCTCTTGTGATATTTTAAGTAAATTTAAAATTAACTCTTTGTATTTTCAAAATATTGTAAAATAAATTAATATAACAAAAAACACAAAATTGCTCTGTATTTTTGAATTATTAGAAGCAAAAATGTAGCTAAACTATTCTAAGGAGATAAATTAAATTACATTAATTATTCTAGTTTAGTTATTTTGTTTTAACTATGTGTATTTTGTTTCAACAAATAACTAGATCAAGTCTTAATTTTCTCAATGTGTCGTAATAGATACGTTTGTTTTTTGACCTTTGTGCAATATACATTATAGAAAAAAATTAATATTTTAAAAAATTTAATAAAAAAACAACTTGTTAATTTACAGTTGGAAAGCCAATAGATGTACCAAAAATTCCAAATCCTACAGCTGAAGATATAGACAAATATCACAAAATTTTTGTCGATGAATTGACGAAGTTATTTGAAGAACATAAAACCAAGTATTCCAAAAATCTAGAAGAACTCAATTTAGTATTAGACTGAAAATATATTTTAACTTAAACTTCATTCGTTATTAAAAATGTTAATTTTAGGAATAACTTTATTCGTAATTATTTTTTATATTCAATTGTTTTTGTGAATAACATTTTTAATTAGTTTTAAATTATTAATTTTGTATTTGATTTACAGATTTTAAATTATTTTTAAGCAATTTTATTATTATTATTTTTTTTTTTGTAATCAATATTCTAAATCATTTTATATATTGTTTTTATGCTAAAAAAAAGTTATTATTCATTACATTATAATGTAATTTAGTTAAAGATTATTGTAAAAAATATACTTAAAGATTTGTCATTATACAAAAAAATGTTGTTAAGGAATATATTTACATTTTTTAGCTATATTTATTTTAAAAAAATATATAAATTTTTTTATTTTTTTAAAACTACATATGCTTTAAGGGACTAACCTCTCTATGATTTATTAAAAAAATGTTTGAATAAATTAATTTTAGTTCTTCATTTTAGATTACTGTTTAAATGCGCGTTATTGATCAGTTTTCAATATTAACTATACAATACTATATGTTACTGTTTGCATTTATTCGAGAGTTCAATAAACATATACAGAATGGCCCACCACTCACTGAACTTAAATAACTTTTGATTCAGTTAATATTTTTAGTTGATTTTTTTTTTAAATAATAGTTATACGTTAGGTCTATAGCTATATCTCAATAATTAATTTTTTTACATTTTATTAAAAATATTAATTATTTTTAAATTTTAAATAAAATGTAAAAAAAAAATTTAAGATAGCTATTTTGTAGAGTAGAATATAAGAAAAATTTTAGTAAAAAAATATCTTATTAATATTNTCGATGATATATTAATTATATTACTTTTTTTACTGACTTAGTACAAAATTTCAATTTGCAATATGAGTTTGGGGAATGGATATACTCTATAGGACAGACTCTGAGTTATACTATTAATGACCAAGACATGTTATCAAATAAAAAGTTATTATTATCAATAACTCCTCAAACAAATGGTATCAATCTTTTTATGGTTCTAGAAAATATTAAAGAAAGAGACTTTAATACAAATTAATGTTAACGTGAGTTTATACAGGGTGTTCAGTAAGTCAGGAAACGGGTTTCTATTGTTCTCATTGTTTGTAACAATGAGAACAATAGAAACCCGTTTCCTGACTTACTGAACACCCTGTATAAACTCACGTTAACATTAATTTGTATTAAAGTCTCTTTCTTTAATATTTTCTAGAACCATAAAAAGATTGATACCATTTGTTTGAGGAGTTATTGATAATAATAACTTTTTATTTGATAACATGTCTTGGTCATTAATAGTATAACTCAGAGTCTGTCCTATAGAGTATATCCATTCCCCAAACTCATATTGCAAATTGAAATTTTGTACTAAGTCAGTAAAAAAAGTAATATAATTAATATATCATCGATTTTAGTTTTTTTAAGAGTAAAGACCCTCATTATTATGCCAATGAGTAGTGCCAGTGTATTACCTGGAAAATTTGCAAAATTAAAGTATTTAGGTTGTACACTGTATAAATACAATTAAAATAAATTAAGATAAGTGGAGGATAGTTAGAGAGGTTAAATTTATTTATCTTCCTTAAAATTATTTTATATAACTATATAATATTTATAAGTAGTAAGGAAGGTACGGAAAGGGGCAAAAGTCCCTTTTCTTTCGTTAAACCTTTAGGCTCAACATGCGAAAATGATCTGAATAAGCTTCTATAAACAAATTCATAATTCCCACAACTAAATTTTTGTATGCACTAAACTTGTTGACGAAAAGGAAATCTGATGGTAAGCTTTATTAATTTAGCTTTCAACGAGGTCTACGAACACCAGAACTTATAAAATAGAATATAGGGTGGACTATTTCCCTAACAAACAAATTTTTAAGTTACGACCATGCTACTAAATAATATATTACTAACTATATGAAAACACATAATTAATATTAGCTATATATTACTGAATATAATTAATAATTTAAAAATATTTTTTTGTAAGTATAAATTAATACAAAACTTATAAAGCTATATAAAATTATATAATTAGAGGTGATAAAGTTATTTTTTATTTGATTAGTTGTAAAATACATAAAACAAAAATAGATGTCAAAAGAAGTATGAAGAAAAGAAATATCTTCAATAGAACCTGAAAAATTAAAAAAAAAAATGAGTATTGCTCTCAAATACTTAAAATGGTTGGCGAGTATTAACTTCGATGCGAAGCTGAAAAGGTATTAATTTTACTATATGTTTTTTTTTTGTGTCTGTTACCACTTTTTCTCAGCTATCACCGAACCGATTTTTTTTAATGATACGTTAAAAGATCACAAATCGTATCTAGTCGAAGACATTACCCTCAAATATTGAAAAAATTTCTCTCGTTTCCTTTAATGGGAGAAACCTCCAAAAAAATTACAAAATTAAAAATCGCTAATTTTTTCAATTTTAGCTTCGATGCGAAGCTGAGAAGGTATTGGTTTTACTAAGATGTGTTTTTTTTTTTTTTTTTTTTGTCTGTTACTACTTTTTCTCAGCTCTCACCGAACCGATTTCTCTCAATGATATGTCAAATGATCACAAATCGTATCTAGTTAAAGACATTATCCTCAAAAATTTAAAAAAATTCCCTCGTTCCCCGTAAATGGGGGAAACCTCCGAAAAAATTACAAATTTAAAAATCAATAATTTTCGAAATTTTTTCAATTTTTTTTACTAAAAACTGCCGTAACTTTTTTAAAAATAATCATATCAATATAATTTTTTTTTTTATAGATGCATGATGTTATTACCTATCATTTGGTATATTTTTTTTATAATTCTGACTTTTTACCTGCCCACAGGAGGGGATTTAAAATGACAACTTTTTTACAAAAAATTAATTTTTTCAACTTAACTTTTGAAAGTGTTCCAGAAAGTCTGACACTTTTATATATATCTAAATTAAATCTTATGTAATATACTATATTATGGGAAATAAAAATTCGGACTTTATTTTATCTTCACGGTGAAAATGACTACCGAATGCTATTTTTGTGTGAAAGTTCTCGATTTTATTTTATTTTTTACTTTATATTGCTATAACTTATTGAAAAATGTATGGATCAATACAATTTTTTTATGAGAAATAATATTTATATCCCTTTTTCATTCGACATACTTTATCTTAATCAGGATATTAATAAGGAACTAGCAGATCATGTAGCTTTTGGAATAATCCACCGATTTTTTAAAATTAAACACTATCTAAATATTTGCATCAAAGCGTTTTTTTTTTTATAGTGATTTTAATCACTCTCAGATATCATTATAATAGTACCAACTATGCCACTGTGCCGTGACCCCCTTGTACTGGGTTTTTTTTATCTATTTTCACTTTGTGAAAAAATATTTGAATTAAAAAATTAATATGAAATAATGAAATTAATAAATATAAATATATTTATTTATATATTTTATATATTTATTTAAACCGGCACACACACAAAAAAAAGTTGTCCCTACTTTTGACCGGACCCACCTACGGACATGTATTTCGACCCACTGAATCCTAAATTTGAAGTCCGTTTGGCTCGACCACCCTCCAGATTTGAGTAAAATACAAAAAACCCAAAAAGGCAAAATTTTGCGAAAAACTGCAGTCACAGCAATGAAAAATTTTTGTGGACCCAGATCAAGTATGATTTGTATGTATGTTAATTTACTGAATCTGAATCTGAACGTTAATTAGCACGTTGAGTCATCAACATTTGAAAACATAGCGGAATAATTGCAATAAATTTAGAAAATCGAATAAAAACAAAAAAAATTTTTTTGGATTCAGATTGAGAATGGTTTTTATGTATTTTGTTCCACTGAATTTGAAACTAAAGTTTTCTTGACCCATTAACGTTTTAAAATTTAAAAGAAATCGGGAAAATTGCAGTTATAAATATGAGAAAAAATCTATTAAATATAGAGATGTGAGTCGGTATTACACATGTGTATTATACGGTATGATACAAGGTATGATACACGCGTATAAAATTATTTTATACCAGCTGTATCAAAAAAAAAAAAAAGCTTTATCAACAATTATATTCTTTTGGATTTGATTTTAATTGATGTACGCAATTGTAATTAATGTTATAGTTGGATTGCATTATTAGAATTAAATCTATCTATAATCGTGATTATTATTGTAGATTAACAGATATATTTTTAACACGCTTATATTAGTCACCCCTCCCCACGCCACGCTCACCACACGACGGCACACTATTCCTATAAAAATTTATTTTTAGTTATCGTACCCGTACACGCGTGCTTGTCATCAATATTATATATATATAAACAAATTTTTATTTTGACTGACCAATAACGCCCGCGTCTAATGCGCCTTACGTATATATATTTATATATTCCTACCACCGTTTATACCTCAGGTATAACGTTAGTCCGACCCGCCCAAAATACGGTTATACCTAGTGCATGATACGTTTACGTATTTAAGTCGCTTTACTTGTATATATATATACAGAGTGTTCAGTAAGTTAGGAAACAGTTAAATTGTTACAAACGATGAGTACAATAGAAATTCGTTTCCTTATTTACTGAACATTCTGTATATATATTCTAATTACTATTAAAATTTATTTATTTACACGCTTTATTTTAATTAAGAGATATAAAGTATTCATTCCGATTACGAGGGATGATTTCCGTATCGTCATTTTTCGTCACTACCTCCACGTTCCGGGAGTGAGTAATTTACGCGCCTGCTGCTTTCCTTGGATGTGGTAGCCGTTTCTCAGACTCCCTCCCCGGAATCGAACCCTGATTTCCCGTTACCCGTTACAACCATGATATTGATAGTAACTACTATCATAACATAAAACTAAAAAGTGAAAAATAAATATAGTTTAAAAAAACTAAAAAAACACGCTTTTAAAGCACATCGAACTAAAAAGTTAAAAATAATTTTTAAAATAAGTTTAAAATAATTATGAACAAAAAATACTAGTATTATTGTGATAAAAGCGTGGGTGCTTTGTGCCATATTTTTCGTATATTGAGCGCCCGACGCTTTTATCACAATAATACTAGTATTTTTTGTTCATAATTATATTAAACTTATTTTAAAAATTATTTTTAACTTTTTAGTTCGATGTGCTTTAAAAGCGTGTTTTTTTAGTTTTTTTAAAATATATTTTTAAAACATAATTAGTTGTCAGATCCGCCAGGGAAACATGGTTATCATAACAAACAAAAGCAATGGACTTGTGTACGGTATAACCGTGGTCTCGGTATGTTTTTAGTAATACCACACAATAATCTTGTCACATTATAAGCGCCAACGCATGTCAGTTCAAATGGAAGAAAATAAAAGCACAGAACAGGTGAATATATTCTGTGGTAAAAGTATTTTTTTTTGTGATTTAAATTGTTTAAGTTTAAAGTATTATTTGCAAATTACGAACTAAGATGGGTCGTCTATCAAAGCAAAAACGAGAATGAAACAGATGAACTATTTGATGATGTAATGACATATACAAATTAAGATTATAAAATATTTCATACTTAATAAAAATTAATTCATAGTACTCTGTGATACTAAAATTTATAATCGATAAGGTGCTTAAGTTATTTTTTTTAAGGTAACAAACGTTAATACAATTATCGATTTTAAGATTAATAGTAAGATGCCATATNCGATTTTAAGATTAATAGTAAGGTGCCATATTTTAATTTTTTAATAGTATATTTAAAGGATAGGATTTTTTTTTTGTTAAGAAATAGTATAAGTTATTAAAAATTTTAAGTTTTTAATGTGGTAAAATTCCAATTGTGTATTTATACTTGTTTAAAAAAGCAGAGTTCTCAGACCTTTAACATCATGGGTGGTATCTGATTGCAAATTGACTATAGTTGGTACTTAGTTGATACTAAATCATCCTCTAGAGAGGAATTCTGGATAGAGAAATATCTTAGTTCAATACTTTAACTAATTACTCCCTGATCATTTTGTTTTCATCAATTTTGCTAAAGGCTTTTTCAGTAAGTACTCATTTATTTATTGAGTTTTATGAAAAATAATCACTCTAAAGTTTATTTTTTCCCAAATTTTAGAAGAAATACACAAGAATAGCCACAAGAATTTATACGATATTATACAACAAAAAAATAAAAAACCGTATTAAAACAACTCTGATTAAATACAATGACTTGAAAAAGCAGAGAAAGTAGGCCCACAGACGTCGTCATCAAGCGACTGCAGCTCTTCAGTAGTGGGAAACTTGGCTACTAGAGAGTATACTATTACAAGAAGCAATTCCCATCTTTGTAATAAAAGTCCTGATTCATTTTGTTACGTTTGTATAGAAACAATATATATTGTTGTTCAATAATGAAGTATTGAATTATTTATTACTCTATAGGGTTCGTCAAAGGTATACTATTGGATATCGATATCGTATTGAATTTCAGAGATATTATATCTCAATATAAAAAAAAAATTGTTCCGATTATCATTGTTGTAAAACTCAGACTATGGTATACCAACTATATCAGACAATAATATTAATATAAAAAAACCCAGCACAGGGGGGTCGCGTCACAATAGTGACGTGGCATAGATGGATCAAGTATAATGATATCTGACAGTGATTAAAATCACTATAAAAAAATAACGCTTCAAATCTTTAGATAGTGTTTAATTTTAAAAAATTGGTGTATTATTCCAAAAGCTACATGATCTGCTAGTTTCTTATTAATATCCTGATTAAGATAAAGTATGTCGAATGAAAAAGGGATATAAATATTATTTCTCATAAAAAAATTGTATTGATCCATACATTTTTCAATAAGTTATAGCAATATAAAGTAAAAAATAAAATAAAATCGAGAATTTTCACACAATAATAGCATTCGGTAGTCATTTTCACCGTGAAGATAAAATAAAGTCCGAATTTTTATTTCCCATAATATAGTATATTACATAAGATTTAATTTAAGATATATATAAAAGTGTCAGACTTTCCGGAACACTTTCAAAAGTTTAAGTTGAAGAAGTTAATTTTTTGTAAAAAAGTTGTCATTTTGAATCCCCCCCTGTGGGCTGGTAAAGGATTAAATTTATAAAAAAAATATACCAAATGATAGGTAAAAACATCAAGCATCTATAAAAAAAAATTATATTGATTTGTTCATTTTTGAAAAAGTTATGGCAGTATTAAGTAACAAAAATTGAAAAAATTTCGAAAATTATCGATTTTTAAATTTGTAATTTTTTTGGAGGTTTCCCTCATTTACGGGGAACGAGGGAATTTTTTTCAATTTTTGAGGATAATGTCTTTAACTAGATACAATTTGTGATCTTTTGATGTATCGTTAAAAGAAATCGGTCCAGTGAGAACTAAAAAAAGTGGTAACAGACACACACAAAAATAAAAAAAAACACATCATAGTAAAATTAATACTTTCTCAGCTTCGCATCGAAGCTAAAAATGGCTATTTAAAAAAATGACCAACTACTTTTTGTCAAAATTTTATAATATACATTATACTTTAGAAGTTACCTTCACNCAGTTTCCCTGTGGATAGGGGATAAGAATACTTTCACGACCCCGATACCAGCCGTAAGAGACGACTAATGAGGTTTCATCAGGTTAACATGTGTACAATTTTTGTCAAAAAGTATGAGGAGTCCTGAACCAAAGTTAGGCGGATTGTCCCATTTCGGACAAGTTGTGCGGTAGTTGTTTCACCAGTCATATGTACAGGTCTACTTAACGCTTGTAGTGTCAACGGTGTAGGAACATTATTACTTAACTCTAGGCTGAACTCGTGTATAAGATAGATAAAAAGTAAGAATAGGTGACAGACCCCAAGTAGTGGGGTTAAAGTGAGAAAAAAAAAAGATATAGAGTGTTCAGTAAGTAAAGAAACGGGTTTCTATTGTTTTTATTGTTTGTAACAATTTACCTGTTTCATTACTTACTGAACACTTTCTATAGATAATTACCAAATCTCATAACGATAAAAAAATATTTTCAAATTAGTTTAGGTATTTAGGTTTTAAATAATAATAATAAAAGATTATAAGTGCTGTTACAGAATAAAACATCATCACTATCATCTAATAGGGATTTTTTTTTTTGAGCTTAATGATTTCATTATATTTTTCAAAATGGGTTTTAACTAGTTTAAATTTTAAAATTTTTCTTTTTATCTCAACTCTATTTTTAATAATATATTTTAATACAAAAAATATTAACAATAATATCACGAACTGTTTTTGGCCTAATATCAAATTATACATATTTTATAACAAAGTGACCAAAATTCAAACAATTTTTCTTCGATTATTGCAATATTTTAAAAGTAATCAATATCCTGGGAAAAATGCAAAATGTCGGCGATATCGACATCGAAACAAAATATCGACATAGTAGACAGTACTAAAGTGTTAATCGATTAAATTTCCCAGACAATATTAATTTGTTCAAGTTCGTTCACTATAAATTGTTTAAATACTAGTATCATTTTTATATAAAAATTATAATATAAATACCAACCTTATCCTGCCATTCACTTTGAAGTTTGCATTGACTGTAAGGAATAGACGTAAATGTAACTGAATTATATAAAGGTATCCAAACTTCAGGAAATAGTTTAAATAAAACATTATCAATTTTTTTTCGCCATAAAAACGTTCTTCTAGTCACTAAATCTCGCATCTGTTATGTAATTGATAAAAACATTTAATTATTGATAAATTTCAAAAAGACTGTACCAATTTCATTGTAACCTGCTCTGGTAAATAATTGTATTAGCGATAAGCAAATATGTTGGAGTTAAAAATGTAAATAAATATATAATTATTACTTTTTTTCGAAATTTTTTTACTAACTTTAATAATTAAAAAATTGTAAAACTTATTTGTCTTATATATATATATATATTTGTGGTTGTCACAAAAATATGATAATCCAATAACTTTTGATTCAATTATCATTTCGTTGAATTTTTATTAAAAACAATTATGACCCTTTTAGATTATATTAGTATTTTAGATTATATAAGTATTTTTTTTATTTATTATTAATAATAACAGTAATAATAAAATATATCTTATTTTTAATTTTAAAACAGTCATTTTTTTTGCAAAAATTTTGGTGAACCGAAAACATTAGGTAATAAAAAATAAACTTTTATAAGTGTTCCGGAAATACTAACACTTTTATAGATATTTTAAATTAAATCTTATGTAATATACTTAAATATTAAAAAAAAAAATTTTGGACTTTATTTTGTCTTCACGGTGAAAACAGACATATTTTTTATATTTTTAACTTTATAACGCTATAAATCTTTGAAAAATGTATGGATGAATACAATTTTTTTATGAGAAATAATATTTATATCCCTTTTTATTCGACATACATTATCTTAATCAGGATATTAATAAGGAACTATCAGATCATGTAACTTTTAGAATAATCCACCAATTTTTTAAAATTAAACACTATTTAAAGATTTGCATCGAATCGTTTTTATTTTGATAATGATTTTAATCACTACCGCTATGCCGCCACCCACCCGTGATAGGTTTTTTTTAAATAACACCATTTCTCATTATATATTATAAATATATATATTTAATTATATATTACACTTATTAATTATAAAACTTGTAATAAGAATATAAATAAAAATACAGAGTTCATGTAGCTTTTGGAATAATCCATTAATTTTAGCTTCGATGCGAAGCTGAGAAGGTATTAATTTTATTATGATGTGTTTTTTTTTTTGTGTCAAAAGATGTCAAAAGATCACAAATCGTATCTAGTCGAAGACATTACGCTCAAAAATTGAAAAAAATTCCCTCGTTCCCCGTAAATGGGGGAAACCTCCAAAAAATGTACAAATTTAAAAATCGCTAATTTTCGGAATTTTTTCAATTTTTTTTACTTAAAATTGCCATAACTTTTTTAAAAATAACCAAATCAATATAATTTTTATTTAGATAGATGCATGATATTATTACATTTCATTTGATATATTTTTCTTTTTACTTTTTACCAAACCCTTTACTTGCTCACGGGGGGGATTTAAAATAACAACTTTTTCACAAAAAATTAATTTTTTCAAATTGACTTTTGAAAATGTTCCGGAAAGTCTGACACTTTTATATATATCATAAAATAAAGCTAATGTAATATACTTTATTATGAAAAGAAAAAATTTCGGACTTTATTTTGTCTTCACGATAAAAATGGTACCGTATGCTATTTTTGTGTGAAATTTCTCGATTTTATTTTTTACATTTTTAACTTTATAATGCTATAACTTATTGAAAATTCTATGGATCAACATAATTTTTATAATATAAAAATTATGAGAAATCATATTTTTTAATAATCCGTTTTTCATTCGACATACTTTATCTTAATTAGGATATTAATAAGAAACTAGCAGATCATGTAGCTTTTGGAATAATCCACCAATTTTTTAAAATTAAACACTATTTAAAGATTTTCATCGAAGTGTGTTTTTTTTTTGATAGTAATCAATTTTAGATCATTTCTAAAAAAAATGATTGTTAGTTTCTCCTGAATTAACAATTGATTTTTACAANCATTTCTAAAAAAAATGATTGTTAGTTTCTCCTGAATTAACAATGGATTTTTACAATTATAAACAAATTTTATAATATGCTCAATTGAGTAAATCTTTTTAACATCTTTGTTTTGATAGGTTCATTTTGTTAAAGGAAATCATTAAAATTAATTAAGTTCTGAATATTTAAATTGTAGAATCTTAATTAACACCAAAAGTTGTTTGGAAATGATTACTATTACTTCTATTTAAGTTATCTATTATGATAAAAATGCAATAAAATATTGAGCTATTCTGATAAATTTACTATATATAGTATTTTTAAAACTTCCTAACTGCATATTAATCTTAACGATACAATTTTTGTAACTCTCATAAAATTTTCTATTTAATGATGTTAATTTCAAACTTGCCAATTGAGCTATAAGTTGTGGTAAAATAAGTAATTTTTTTTTTATTATAAACATTCACAAAAATCAACTTTAAACGATTAAAAAAATAGGTTAAATATGTCATTTTCCTAATTTTTAACATATTAATAATCAAAATCAGTATTAATTTAAAACAATTTTTTTTTTTGTTCTTAATTACTTTCTTTTTATATGCAAATACTTATTTTTTAATAATAAGTAATAATATTAAAACTTAGAAGTAATAGAAAAAGTTTAATTGCACATTTGAAAACATCACGAAAAGATGATTTAGAAAAGTATATTTTTGTTTATGATTAAAGTTCATTTTAGTCTAGTGTATTTATTCATAAATAACAAAATTTTTTTATTAAAAAGTATTGCATCAATCCCTTTAAATTTTTATACGCATTATAAGTATATGAATATACAACTCCTTTTTATTTTTATAATATTTCTATAAAAATTACAATCTTATTAAATATCAATTTCATACTAAATTTAATTACTTTAATTATTATGTATTCATATATTATAATTATAAATCGGAATAAAATTAAGGGAATAAGAGTTATGGTTGCTTTTGAAATAATCTACCAATCTCTTAAAATTAAACACTATTTNGAAATAATCTACCAATCTCTTAAAATTAAACACTATCTACAGATTTGCGTTTCTAATGATAGTGATTTAAATCACTGTCAGATATTATCTATACTTGTCCCATCTATGCCGCGACCCCATTGTGCTACTGTTTTTTAAAATTAAACATTATCTATAGATTTGGATTGAAGCGTTCTTTATGATAATGATTTTAATCACTGTCAGATATCATCAAAAAAAAAGTATGTCGAATGAAAGAGGTATATAAATATTATTTTTCATAAAAATATTGTACTGATCCATACGTTTTTCAAAAAGTTATAGCATTATATAGTTAAAAATAAAATGTATAAAATCGAGAAATTTAACACAAAAATAGCATACGATAAAAAAAAATAAATTCCCAAACTTTTTTTTTTCCATGATAAAGTACATTACATTAGCTTTAATTTAAGATATATATAAAAGTATCAGTATTTCCGGAACACTTTCAAAAGTTAAGTAGAGAAAGTTAATTTTTTGTGAAAAAGTTGTTGTTGGAAAAAATCGGTTTGATGAGAGCTGAGATAAAGTGATAACAGACACACAGAAAAAAAAACATATAGTAAAATGAATATCTTCTCAGCTTCGTATCGAAACTTATACGATTTTTGTAAAAAATTACAATATTAAATTATTAAAAATAAATGTCATATTATATTTAATTGCTATACTTAATATTTATTCATATATTATACTTATAAAATTTAAAACTTGTAATCAGGATATAAATAAGGAAATAGGATATCATGTTGCTTTTGGAATAATCCACCATTTTTTTAAAATTAAACACTGTCTACNGATAAAAAAAAATAAATTCCCAAACTTTTTTTTTTCCATGATAAAGTACATTACATTAGCTTTAATTTAAGATATATATAAAAGTATCAGTATTTCCGGAACACTTTCAAAAGTTAAGTAGAGAAAGTTAATTTTTTGTGAAAAAGTTGTTGTTGGAAAAAATCGGTTTATAATCGTGATTTTAATCATGATGTGACGCAACTATGTCACATCCCCACTGTAACGCGACCCCACTATGCTGGGTGGTTAACATTAAATATTTCATTTAATCTATAAGTTATAATGTCGGAGCAAATCATGGCAAATGACTAACAATTACTTAAGACCAATGGTGTCAATTATTAAAAAATGAGCTAGTCATTTTCCTCTTTCGTGTTTATATGTATGATTAATAATATTTGTTATAAATATTCTGAATTTCGATTATTAATATATATTCATGTGAAGATTTATATCTTAAGTATATCAAAACCTTATGTACAACTATAATTAATATAAATTGAGTGAATTTTAGCTTAACACATGTTGTATATTAAATTAAAATGTGGATTTGATCAGAATTCTTATGTTATTTGTTAAATTTTATGTATACCTCAATGTAGTTGTAAAATGCCATATCACTAATAGCTTCAGCATCTCTAATTCTTTTTACAGAAAATGATTTGATAATCATTTTTAAATCGTGATCATATTCTTCAAGAAGTTGATTTAAAACTGTGCAGTCTTCAAACCCCTTCAAAAATATTTTACTTTTTAAAATATTTTTTTGTGTTTATTACTACATTTTTTTAATTGTTACTCACAGCGTTCATACCTTGGCCAAAAAAAGGAACAATAGCATGTGCGGCATCACCCATCAAAAGAAATTTGTCACTATAATGGTAAGGGTTGCACTGAAAATTAAATTAAACAGAATGTATTAAGTAGAAATAATCAAAAATTAGAATCGAAAAATTTTAAATAAGTAAAATACTTTAATCGAAATTAATGGTTGTGGTTTAATAGACTTAATTTGATCTATTAAATCATCAATTGAAATGAATTCAGTAAAATCTTTGAAATATTCAACAAAAAATGAATGAATTGCATCTTTTTTGCTTGGATCTAAAAGAGACGAAAAATTTTTGTTCGGCATGAACAATGTACAAGTCCACGATTTATCTTTATTTGGTAATGCTATTAACATAAAAGTTCCTCTTGGCCAAATATGAAGATGATTAGAAATTAGTGTTTTCTGTATAAATTATTATTTTTTATGTATTAAAATTTCTTTAACAAACATTGAATAATTTTTAAAGTATTTTAACTGCAGTGTTACATTGTTTCCGTCATATTTCAAAATAATCTCCATATAACTATGATCGATATAGTTCTGTGAAAAGTTAAACATTGGTAAATGTGACATATGAGTTCGAAGAGTGGAATGAGCACCATCGCACCCTATAATCAAATCATGCTTTACGATTCTTTTACTTTGATTTTCTGAGCTAAAATAAACGTATAAAACATTTTTTTAATTAGTTACATTTTAAATAAAAATTTTTTAATACATTTACTTTTCAAATGATAATGACCCATTTGTAAAATTTACATTGATCAATTTATGAGAAAATTTCAATTTAATGTTGGAGTACTTTTCAAGTTCTATAAAGTTAAAACAAATTTAATTCAACTCTTAAAAATCGTATTTTAATAAATATTACTTGTAAGTAATAGTTTGTTGAGCTCTTTCCTACTAACTGAATATAGACACTAAAAAATAAAAAAAAAAATGAATACATACATTCAAATTTTTAGGTTCGATGCGAAGCTGAGACGGTATTCGTTTTACTATGTGATTTTTTGTCTGTTACCACTTTTTCTCAGCTCTCACCAGGCATATTTCTGTCAACGATATGTCAAAAGTTTACAAATAGTATCTAATCGAAGACATTACCCTCAAAAATTGAAAAAATTTCCCTCGTTCACCGTAAATGGAGGAAATCTCCAAAAAAATTACAAATTTAAAAATCGTTAATTTTCGAAATTTTTTCAATTCTTTTTACTTAAAAATGCCATAACTTTTTTAAAAATGACCAAATCAATATAATTATTTTTTATAGATGCATGATGTCTTTATCTATCATTTGGTATACACTTTTTATAAAATGACACCTTTTTTGCAAAAAATTAATTTTTTCAACTTGACTTTTAAAAATGTTCCGGAAAGTCTGACACTTTTATATATATCATAAAATAAAGCTAATGTAATATACTTTGTTATGAAGAAAAAAAATTTCGGACTTTATTTTGTCTTCACGGTGAAAATGGCTACCAAATGCTATTTTTGTGTGAAAGTTCTCGATTTTATTTTATTTTTTACTTTATATTGCTATAACTTATTGAAAAGTGTATGGGTCAATACAATTTTTTTATGAGAAATAATATTTATATCCCTCTTTCATTCGACATACTTTTTTTTAAAATGACACCATTTACCTTTATATATTATAAGTATATATATTTAATTATATATTACACTTATAAATCATACAACTTGTAATCAGGATATAAATAAGGAAATAGGAGATCATTTAGCTTTTTTAAAATTAAACACTATCTACAGATGTGCATTGAAGCGTTTTTTATTATAGTGAATTTAATTACTGTCAGATATCATTATACTTGCACAACTATGCCGTGACTCCCCTGCGATGGGTTTTTTTTAATAAGGAAGTAAAAAAATTACATTATTATATCAATGTAAAATAACAAAGTATTTTTTAATACTGTTTAACATACAAACATATGTTCAATTATTTTGAATATATGTTAGTTTATTTTTGTGGAGATAACTAATAGTAAACGATATTTTATCCTTTTCGAATTTATCAACCTATTTGAAGGTTTTATCATATTAATTTTTCGTTTGTAGGTAACATTCATTGACGTAAAAGTTAAATTTAAGACAATTATTACTTTATTTTGGAGTACATCATATGGTATACTGAATAATTTTCCATCGTTTGCATGAATCATTCTTCCAGACATAGGTTCTGTGAGCTCTTCGATTACAACATTATCAAGACCAACAAAACGTAACGCTTTTACACCCCTTTCTGAGAGTGCTAAATTTATTGATCGTCCAACTGATGTTACCATTAATCGTATATCTAAGAAAAAAAATTAATCTATTATAATCTTATTATTCTAACTTAATATTATTGAAAAAGTAAAATAAAATATTTGATCTTAAAGCATAAAATTTTTCAGTCATTTTATTTAGTATCCCCTAAAGGTGGTCTAAGGATTAGTGTAGAGGAGATTCGATGACCATTTGGTATCTCTAGCTATGTCATTGCTCTTATATAATGAGAAAATTATAAATTTATAATTATTACTTTAGTAAAAATGAAGTTGTCATAGACATGTTAGTTCAAAATTTAATGATTATAACTAATTAGTACTCAACAAACTTCAATTTTTTTATATAATAAAGTATTAAAAAATTAGCCTTTGTTAGAAAAATAACTTAACAATGTCAATTTTTTCGTAATATGCACAATGTTCTGCATTACGCATCTTACATCATCAATAAAAAATTATTACTCTATATTTAATACCAATTGTATACTATGCATTTTATCTTAAAAATAATTATCATGTTATGTTTAAATTGTATACAATAAACTGAAAATCACTAAAAGCACTGACGGCAACAACCCATGATGGGGGTAATTGAAATTAATATAAAAAGGCGTTGATTTTCTAAGAGATTCTCATTCTCTCTCCTTTTTGAAGATCTGAATTCAATAAAGAATTCAGAATTCTTCTATTTGATTTATTTTTATCAAACTAGCCGCGACCCCGTGTTGTCGTCGGTACATTTTAAAACGATATCGAATACAATTATTTTGCGTCAATACTTTATTTATTAAAAAGGAACAGTATAAATCTGAACGTAAGATATATAAAAGAAGTAAGTAAATTTATATTAACCCAATTATTTTGAATTAATAATCTGAGTAAAGAATGGTAAAGCAATAGATTTTTTAAACATCATTTTTTTTAATTATTAATAACTATTTAGTGCTTGGTCATATACTTCGACTGGGTGTCTGAGAGGAGGCCTCCGCCACTCCATGAAAGCCTCAGTATTTCCACTAAAGTACATAGTTAACACCACCCTCCGACTGGGTGTCAGGAGGCCAAGACAAGAATACCTCAGCGTTTAATATCTCTATGAGAGGAACTTAATACATATCTTTTTATATCTACTTGTCTTTGCTGTTCTAAACCCTCGGACTCTACAACGCCGAAAGAACCTCGTTGTTCCTGAATTGACCAAATCCCCAAATATCCAACATTGGTTATAAATACCCAAAGAGCTTTTTGCTTATTTTTGTATTACTACAAATTTTTTTAATTATTTTTATTATTAAATAAGCTCGGCGACTTATTTAAACGGAAAAATATTGAAATCGCACATACTATAGGTAAATAAATACATTTATCTTAGGATGTGTAAAACAATAAAATCAGTCAATTCATTACTGTAATAATTACAAAAAAGTAATTCTTATTTCTTATTTATTTTTAAAATTAAGATATGAAAATAAAACAAAATTATAGTAATGGTAATAAACATTCAGGTGTTCAAAATGTAAGGAAACAGGTCAGTTGTTACAAACAATGAGAGTAATTGAAACCCATTTCCTTACTTACTGAACATTCTATATAATATAAGTATTACGTACACAATTATTAAAATTAGTAAATACTTTTTTTTAAGAAGATAATTTAACATAAATAAATTCAATAATGCAATTATAATTATAAAAGTACTCATAATTATATTTTTCTGACACGCAATAACCTTCAACCAAAATATCATTAAAAAAACAAATTAAATATAGTTTTAAATTTAAAAATCAATAAGAATAACCTTTCAATATCATTTAAATATTGTTTACAAAAAAATTGAATTATGTTATGAAAAAATAAAGTTCAAATATACCTTTTCGACTTTCATACACAGTTATATCGTATCCGTGTTCAGCCAAAAAACATGCACAGAGTGATCCAACCTATTAAAATAACGTAAAATGTAAAAAAATAATAATTACAATTATAACTCAATTTCTATTATTTAGAATAACACATATGGTTGTACAGCTAAATTAAATTCTATTACTTACCGGCCCTGCCCCAATAATGGCTACTCTAATTCTTGACTGAGATGACATTACTCAGAAATTTTATTCGATATAAAACAGAAAACAGAGTAAATTAAACTATACACTTAATTTATACAAATGGCTGTGGTATATATATGATTATGTAATAAGAAATTAAATATGATACGAAAACCATATAAGTTTTTCAACTTGTGTTAGAATAACTTTACAATAAATTATATAACAGAAGAAACGTATATCAATGTTAAATACCTTTTTTTTAACTAAAATAATCAATATTTATTTATTATTATTTAAAATTTTAAGTTACCTACTAAATTGAAACAAAAGCTTGTTACGTTGTTATATGTCAATAGGATAGTCATACATAAATGTTATTTATTAAAATTTATGAAAAAAATATTTTCATTCAAAATCAAGCAAACGTGACCATTTTCGACTAATATAGCTTTAGTTTCCTAATGTTTGGAATTTTTTCATAAAATTTTTAAAAAATACACGAAGAAAATTTGGCTTGTACTGTGTCAGAATTTTAGAAGTAGAAAATTTTGTGTAATACTAAGTGAAATTTTATCTTTTTTTATTATGATTTTAAATTGAAAAGTCTCATTATCACCACCGAAAATTTTTGTGGATTTAAACTGTTGTAAATTACGACTAACATAATTGAAAATAATTATCGAATAACGGTATTGATTTGTATGTCAACATCAATAGGTATAATGTGATACATAACAACTGATATGCATAAATACTAATCAGATAACAAAAATATCAGTATTAATATATAATTTAGTATATCATTTACAATCGGTGTACCGTTTTGAAATATTTAAATACAGGTATACCAAAAAGCCGGTATACCATTATTTTCGTTTCAATCAAATAAATTATGAGCCCTTCTGACGATTATAATTTATTATAGGGGTTTTTATAACTCATTCATATAGTGAATACATTATTTAGCAAACCAAGAATATCCATTAATGATTTAAATGCATTTTCATAATAAGATATAAGATTTAAGTAGCTTATAAATATTATTAATTACCGATAAATGAAATTTCTAGGTAAAATTATTTATTTATTTACTTTTTAGAATTCCAGCTTATCTATAGCACCTTAAATATATTTCCGATGAAAAGTACAAGAAAATTTAATATTGAAACTTAATATCTCTAAAGTTTTATTTAATGTTAAAATGTTCAACACAATTAGTAATTAATATACTTTCAATAGTATATAAATTATATTGATATTTGTTCAAATATTTTTTTACATTTGTCTACTAAGATCAATTAGTTAATCATGCAGACGAATTTTCCTATTATACTTTGTAATAGATTTAAAAAAGTAAAACTGAACTTGCATGCGTAAGCGAATTAAATTTTTAAATATTTTGGCTACTGTACAACATATATTAACATTGCTTTAAGTTTTACTCGAGTGTAGGAGTGATTACCGGACGAACGATTGCCCAGGGACACAGTATGTGCGTTAGCTAGTCATGCGGCTGCTGATCAGTCAGGATCTAACGTTCCAAAAAAAACCGTAACAACCAAACGTACGCAAAAATATCTTCCTATAGATTTAAGTCATATTTTCTATTTAGCTACATAATATTTAATCAATTTTAATTCGAATAGGTAAATACATTCTATAAAAGTTGGTTAAATTAATCATATTATGATTCGTTTCACGTGGCGCGACCTCCTAGCCGTGTTTGCGTTTACGGTGATCGCATTCCAATCACAAGTTTCCGCTAAAAAAGACTTAAGTGGAACCGCAGCTCCATCAACTGACTCATCAACTCCTTCATATAGATCGGGGGCTAAAGAACATCACGCAGAACCTATAATAGAAGAAGTCACATCTAAGCAATTAGAAAAAGTATTAAATGAAAAGGATTACGTGGCTGTTTTTTGGTGTAAGTACGACTTCCACGTAAATATAAACAATTATATAGCAGCATTAAAAAAAACAAATTATAAAAATAGTTAATTTTTCTAAACTGTATGACACTTAAAGCCCAAAACTATTAAATTTGCTTAAATTGTCATCAGCGCGATGCATGATGCATCGCATTTTATAGAATATTACTTTATGAAATTATTTTATTATTATTAGATTAAGTAACGAAGTTGAGGATGATTTCTTCAAATTAAATGTCTAACTAATAAAAAAATTAATCTTTTTAAAAAAAATATTAGTAAAAAGTTTGTCCATTTATTATTTTATAAAATGATAAATTGACATGTATATATTTTTAAAGTAAATTAGGTAATTATTTTTTTATGAACTTTTGCAAAAGTACATTAATTATTTGTATTATTTTATAATTTATTAAAATTATCTAATTTTTTAAACTGTCTATCAAAACTAAATGGAAATACTTAATACTTATTTAATTAAAATTAAAATATTTTATTTATTATAATCCCGTTAGTTTAGTTTTAGAAGTTCTTGGATAAAAAAAACTTCAATATTTATAGAAAAAATTAACATAAAAAAAATGATTGCCAATTTGTAACATGATATATATATTTATAATTATAAACTAAAATATTATTTGAAATTTGTAGAAAATATTTTTAAATATTATTTTAATAATTATTTCAACAATTTTGGTTTTATGAGATTCTGGCACAAATGAACATTTTAATCAAGTCGCATACATTGAACAGTCTATAAGTGCTTCAGCAACTCTTCAGTGGGTCAACCGGAGATGTTATGATTGTTTATTAATAGCCTTTCCAAAGTTATAATATATAAATTTGTTCAATACAATCTGATTATTAATGATTTCTATAATTATTGTTAAAAAAAACTTTTTGGTATTGAAAACACAACAGTAAATTGACAGAAACTAATCGTTTACACTTTTTAGATCTGATCTTTCTAAAGAGAATATTTTTTTTTTGGAGAAGAGAGAGAAATTTAGATTGTTAAAACGGTCGACAGTGGCGAAGGTATTATTATGGTTACATTATCCCCCGACAACCGTTGGTGATTTAGCGGAGGTCGGACGATGAAGATAATAATAGCACACGCGACTGACTCCATCTGAGGTAGTGCTGTCGTCTCGTTTAACTTCTCCTAAGCTGACATCACACAAATCTCGCTATCTAAACACTTACCTAAAAAACATACTAGTTGTTTGAAAAATAGCTCATTATTTATAGCCAAACAGTATTTTTTATTTTCAAAATAGATCCATAGAAACTGTTTGAATTGCTATTATAATCATTATTGAAGAATAAAATGGTATAAATAATTAAATATTAAAATGGTTTAGTTTATAATTAAAAAATAAATTTTTCTCTTCATAAGGAAATAACTATAAATAGGGCATATATACAAAGTGTTTGCAATTTTAAATTAAATTGAGACACTTTAAAATGTCCCAAATTTGTGCAATTTTGTTTTAAAAATTATATTTTTTTACTATAGGAAACTGCAAAATTACGTTTGCAAAGTTATTGAATATTTAGAAAGAAAAAAGAATATTTCAAATTAAAAATGAACTTGTATTAATATTTTAAATAATTAATAAAAGTCAATAGTGTTCAATTTTTATGATAAAAAGGAATAATTGATATTCTCATGAATATTATAATTTTTATCGAATGAAGGCATCTTTCTATATTACTTTATATATATCAATTAATTGATTGCAGTGTACTCAAATTACAAACATAACTAGTATTAAAAAAACCCAGCACAGGGGGGTCGCAGCTCAGTGGTGACGTAGCATAGTTGGATCAAGTATAATGATATCCGACAGTGATTAAAATCACTATAAAAAATAACGCTTCAAATCTTTAGATAGTGTTTAATTTTAAAAAATTGGTGGATTATTCCAAAAGCTACATGATCTGCTAGTACATTATTAATATCCTAATTAGGATAAAGTATGTCGAATGAAAGAGGGATATAAATATTATTTCTCATAAAAATATTGTATTGATCCATACACTTTTCAATATGTCATAGCATTATAAAGTAAAAAATAAAATAAAATCGAGAATTTTCACACAATAATAGCATTCGGTAGCCATTTTCACCGTGAAGACAAAATAAAGTCCAAAATTTTTTTTTTGCATAATAAAGTAAATTACATTATCTTTAATTTAAGATATATATAAAAGTATCAGTATTCCGGAACACTTTCAAAAATTAAGTTGAAAAAGTTCTACTTTCTCTATGCATTTTTACGTTTTGAATCCCCCCAGTATTAAGGGATATGGTCCGATTAAAAAAACAAGTATGTCGAATTAATGAGGTATATAATATTTATTTCTCATAAAAAAATTGTATTGATCCATAAATTTTTCAAAGATTTATAGCGTTATATGTTAAAAATATTTTCTCATAATATATACATTATGTATATTACATAAGATTTTATTTAAGATATATATAAAAGTGTCAGTATTTCCGGAACACTTTCAAAAGTTAAGTTGAAAAAGTTAATTTTTTGTGAAAAAGTGTCATTTTGAATCCTCCCCTGTGGGCTGGTAAAGGGTTAAATTTATAAAAACAACATACCAAATAATAGATAAAGACATCAAGCATCTATAAAAAAAAATTATATTGATTTTTTCATTTTTAAAAAAGTTATGGCAGTTTTAAGAAAAAAAAAAATTGAAAAAAAGTCGAAAATTACCGATTTTTTAAGTGGTAATATTTTTGGGGATTTCCCCCATTTACGGAGATTGAGGGAATTTTTTCAATTTTTGAGGGTAATGTCTTCGACTAGATACGATTTGTGATCTTTTGACGTATCGTTGAAAGAAATTGATTTGGCGAGAGCTAAGAAAAAGTGGTAACAGACAAAAAAAAAAAAACATCATAGTAAAACGAATACATTCTCAGCTTCGCATCGAAGCTAAAAATGTATTAAAAATAAATTTTTAAACAATTGAAAGTTATGTATAAATATATTAAATTCGAGTATGAATGAAAATTTTTTAAAAAGCTACGTGGTCGAAAAATAATTTGTATTTTTTTTTATTTCAGATACTAGAAGTTGTCACACTTGTGATAAAGTATTAGAAGAACTTGAAAAAATTGACGACGACACAGATTCATTTGGGGTAGATTTTGTAAAAATTAACGACAAACGATTAGCTAAGCATTATGGAATTAAAACATTCCCTGCACTTACATATTTCAGAGACAAAGAACCTATTATTTATGATGGTATAAATATTATTTGACTTGAAAATTGAGACCCATATACATTTAGTTGATGAATTTTTATGTTCCAAATAAATAATAATGTTCAAATTATCTATCACATTTATTATATATTTTGATTTGCAAGGTGATTTAATGGATGAAGATTCAGTGCTAGAATTTTTAACTAGCTTAGAGGCTTTAGATTTACCTGATCGCATAGAAGAAGTTAATGCGAAGATTTTGAAAAAAATTATTGAAGACACGGAATATGTTGCGGTTTTATTTTGTAAGTTGATAATTTTATGTTAAATTTTTCACTTAATAAAATTACATGTGTATATTATACATGATTATACGGTTCACAATCAATTATGTTGTGTGATTCAATAGGTCTTGAAAGATCTGAATGCACTATAAAAGATATCCGTAAGTGACATGATTATAGCATCAAACCTGATACGTACCTTTTCCAAGTAGAATTATAGATCCCATTTTAATAGAGATCCATTTATAAATTATTTTTTATTTAACAAGTTATCTATTTAATATTGATAGTAGTATAATGACATGATTTATAAGAAAAAATTGCCAAAACATTTGTGTTGAATAGAATATTTTTTGAGCATATACCCAATGCTATTAAAAAACCAACATGAAAAAATAATGTAGAAAAAATATGGGATGTTTTTGTTGTATATATTCACTCCAGAATTATAGTGATTACAGAGTTAATATATTGATTAACCTTAAAAATTGATATTATCATTTGGGATAAGATTTATTATTTTGCTGTCCACTCAATTATTAGATTAACTTTTTTACAACTTTATTGCTAATAACTTTTAAAACTACCTATTTTATTTTGTTTTCTTAAAAATCCACTTATCTAAGCAATTTAGCATCTGTTCATTAATTTAGTTTTGTGTTGTTTAACGTTCAAAACCAACATTTTTATACACTGTAAAATTTTAACTGAATAATGAAATTTTTCTATATTTTTTATCAAAGTAATGTACGCCACATATAATTTAACAGTCGGTAGACTAATTTTTTTCCTTTAAATTAATTTATTATAATTTTATTCTTATAATGAATCCTCATATCATTCTATCAGATAAATCTGGCTGTAAAAAATGCGCAAAAGCATTACAAGAACTTGAAAATATCGATGACGAAGCAGATCAATTGGGAATTGGATTTGTTAAAATACACGACGCAAGTTTAGCTGATGAATATAATTTAGGAGATTTGCCTAAGCTGGTATATTATCGCCATCAAATACCAATTATTTATGAACGTTAGTAGTTTTTTTAGTATCCAGTTACTTTAATTATAATTAACTTATAAACGATTTTTCATTTTAACATTTCATATTACAGATGAATTGACAAAGGAAGAAGACGTTCTTGAGTGGTTAGTTCAAAATAAATCCACAGGAGACGAAGAAGATATAATTGAAGATGTTTCTGCCAAAACTTTAGACACGCTAATCGAGTCTGTTGATAATCTCGTGGTACTATTTTGTAAGTTTCACATATTGGTAACCGGGATAAACGTAAATAATTTTTTTTTTTTCAGATGATAACGATGATGAAGATTCTTTAAGAGTTTTAAACGAATTGGAAAAAATTGATGATGACTGCGATCGTCATGGTATACAATTTGTCAAAATAGAAGATCCATTAGCTGCTCTATCGTTTGGCTTAGAATCTGTTCCAGCTGTTGTTTATTTCGAAAAACAAATACCAAATATTTACGATGGTGATATTGAAAATGAAGACGAACTTTTACAGTGGCTTATTGATCAATTGCAGAAAGATGAAATAGAAGATATTACAAATGAGATGATGGATCGTCTCATTAAAGAAGGAAAGAATATAGCAGTACTTTTTTGTAAGAATAAATCATGATTAATTTTAATAAATTATATTAAATATTTCTATTTTATTGTTTAGATGACAATAATGATAAGAAATCACAAAGAGCTATAAATGAACTTGAAAATATAGATGATGAATGCGATGCTCTTGGAATAGCATTTGTTAAAATTGATGACGACGAAGAAGCTAAACTTTATGGAATAGAAACTTATCCTTCATTATTATATTTTGAAAATGGAGTACCTACTCTTTACAACGGTAAATTAATTAAAAAATATACTATAATATGAAAAATCTTATACAAACTTTCAATATATATATATATATATATATATATATTAATTACAGGAGATTTAGAAGATGAAGATAAGGTTTTAGAATGGTTGAGTTATCAAGCTAAACACGACGAAATTGAAGATGTTACAGATGAAATGCTGGATATATTAATTAATAAACTCTCAAATGTTGCCGTTTTGTTTTGTAATTAAAATAAACTCCAACTTAAAATATATGATTGTTTTAATATAACTGTGATTTTAGACGACAAAAATCAAAAAAAAAGTCAAAAAGTATTAGTGGAATTAGAAAATATTGACGATGAATGTGACCAAAATGGAATAGCATTTGTAAAAATAAATAATCTAGATGAGGCTCAAGAATATGGTATAACAAGTGTACCAAAATTATTATATTTTGAAAAAAGGATACCACACATCTATCATGGAGATTTACTTAAAGAAGAAGAAGTCTTAAGCTGGTTAATTCATCAAAAACGTCATTCAGAAATTCCAGATGTTACTGATGAAATTGTAGATAAACTTATAGAATCTGAGCCTTATCTGGCTGTATTATTTTGTAAATACTACTAAAACTAATATCAATGGATGTTTTTATTATTTATTGGATTATTTTTAAGATGACAAGGATGACAAGGAAGATATTCGAGTATTAAATGAACTAGAAAACATTGATGATAAATTAGAAAAAGAAGGTATTGTTATCGTACGGTTGGACGATGATGCTGAAGCAAAAGAATATGGAATAGATCATTTGCCCACTTTAGTTTACTTTGAAAATAAAATACCAGCAATTTACGAAGGTAAAAACATGTCTAATTTTATAGAATTCATTGCTGACTATTTGAATATTTATTTTTTAGGAGATCTTATTAACGAGGATGAAGTACTTAAATGGCTAATAGAACAAAAAAATACCGCCACCATTGAAGAAGTTACCGATGAGATTCTTAAAAATTTAATAAATGAACATGAATACGTTTTAGTATATTTTAGTAAATATTTAAATCGATTATTATACAATAAGCGGTCACTTATAATAATTATTAACAATAATTTGCTTATTAATTTTTTAAGGTGGTAGATGCGAAGAAGGTGAAGAATGTGACAATATATTGGATGGATTTGAAAATATCGATGATGAACTTGACGAAAGTGGAATAGTTTTTGTCACAACCGAAGACGCGTCTATTGCAAGAGAATACGGAATAAAAACTTTCCCTTCGTTGGTATTTTTTAGAAATAAAGAACCTCTAGTGTATACTGGAGATCTAGAAGATGAAGATGAAGTCCTTACCTGGCTACTTGATGAAGAAACACTCAAAGTGCCAGGACGAATTGAAGAAGTAAATACTAAAATGTTAGAAAAAATATTGGATGAAAAGAAATATGTTGTTGTATTTTTTTGTAAGATATTAATCCTGACTTATATAATCAATGTACTAATTTTAAATTGATTAGGAAATACATGTTTTTTAGATAAAGAAGGAGATAAAAAAAGTCAAAAGATCATAACTGAATTAGAAAACATTGATGACGAGTGTGAAGAAAAAAATATACAGTTTCTTAAAACTTCAGATAATGGAATTCAAAAAGAATATGACTTGCCTAGTTTACCAACTCTTATATTTTATAGAAATAAATTCAGAAAAATTTATTCTGGTATCTTAAATCTGAATGTTAATTTATAAATGTTTATAACAAGTTATTGATTTTAATAGGAGATTTGATGCACGAAGAAGCTATTTTAGAGTGGGTTCTCGACTTACATGAGTCCGAACCTGATTTTATTGAAAGTGTGGACAGAAAAACACTTCAGACTTTAATTAACGACGTTGAACATTTGGCAGTATTTTTTTGTATGTATGAACATAAATTTTAAAGTTTACCACTTTACATTCTATAACTTAAAGCATTATTTCGATGTATTAAATAGATGTTCAAGTTTTAATATTCCTTAAATTCATTTTTTTACAGATGATAATAAGTGTGAAGCTTGTCCAAGTATATTGGACGAATTAGAAACAATAGATGATGATACAGATAAAGAAGGAATTCAATTTGTTAAATCCACTGATTCAAAATTAGCATCAGAAATAGGTATATTTAGTTTTCCTGCATTGGTTTACTATGAAACAAGCGTTCCAATTATGTATGATGGTAAGTGTAAAATTTTTCATTTATATAAAATCTCACGACGAAAAGAAAATTTAATATAATGAAGATAATAACACAGAAACTAAAATAGAGCCTTTAATAAAAGATGATTTTTATAAGCGGATTTTTGTTTAAACTAGTAAATAATAATAAATTTAACACAAATTCATGACCTATGAGATACACATACCCCGCTAACCACGCTACATTTTTCATTTTGTATCAGTACTAACATATGTTATAATAAATATCTACATCTTGCCCTTTAAGAGACGATTTTTTGCTGTCTATTTCATCATCTTATTACAAAAAATTAAAAATATTAAGCAAGATATAGAAAGTAAAATTAAAACTATATTAAAAATATTATTAATTTAAAAAACTAAAAAATATTAAAAATATTAAACTCAAAGCCACAAAAAAATTATTAATGAAAAGTCGCGGATACGTATTTCGGAAACAATGTTACCATTATCAACGCTAAACACATACTCATGTATGTTTAGCGTTGATAATGGTAACATTATTTCCGAAATACGTATCCGCGACTTTTCATTAATTTTTTTTTTGTGGCTTTGAGTTTAATATTTTTAATATTTTTTAGTTTTTTAAATTAATAATATTTTTAATATAGTTTTAATTTTACTTAATTAATTAGCCACAAGTGATCAAATTTTATTATAAGATATAGAAATTTTCATACAATGGTCCGAATTAAAAAATTGAATTTAGCATAATTTTTTATAAACGTAATAACTTATCATATTATAAAGGTTCATCATAATATTGATAATTAATAAGTTAAAGTTACATAAATGTTAAATATTATATAAAAAAAAAATATATTATATGTTAAAAAATAATTTATTGTTATTTTCCTATACTTTAATTATATAACACTTTTCTGGTACTAGAATGAGGTTTTATTTAATTTGTTACTATAATTATTATGAAAATTATTAATTATTACTATTTGTTGAGTAAAATGTTATATATAAGATAAAGCATTTGTAAGCGAAAAATGTTTTAAAAATGCCTCCATCTGTAAAGAGGAATGGGTATTTTTCATTTCGCTGTACATATTTAAAAACAATTTTACATACCTACAAAAATATATTTTATAAGGATTTTCATAAGTACTATATATAAAAGAATATGTATTTTTTTTTTTTTTTTTTTTTTTTTCCAAGAGTTAATGAAAAGTAACCTAATGTAACATAATTTGTTTAATTTAAGTATATATAACTTTATATAAAGTTTTTTAGGTTATTTATAAGTATAAGAAAAATATTTGATGTAAAAGAAAATTATAACATAAAATTGTATGTTACTTAGGTAACCTTAAGAACAGCAAAAAAGTATTAAGTTGGCTTATAAATCAAAAAAGTAAGCAATGTGTTTAATTGTGCTCACAATTGTTTTAATTAATATATTTATTTGCAATGTATCATCCGATGATAATTTTATTGAATTTTATAATATTCAGGTGGCAAAAAAAGTTCTTTAAACTCAAAATCATCTAAATTACAAAAAATTGAACATACAGGTACTTAATATTAAATATATCCAAATTGTTTCTACATACTATCATGAAAACATGATTATTTTCAACATTTTCTATAAAATTTAGATATGTGGGATTTCTAAAAATACTCAGAGATTGATGCACCAGTGACTAAAATTAGCTCATTAGATTTAAATTCGACTTTTTTTTGCTCTCAAATACGATAACGAATTCTAATATTTTATTTTTAAATATAAGAAAATATAGAAAAGTCCTATTAAATCATAAAAAAATACGTATCTCACTAATACTTTATAATATTTAAAAAAATTAGATTAGAATTTTTCCAATTATCAACAGCTAGATAATTTTATGTGATAAATTTATATAATGCATAACATTAACAAATATTCTAGCAAAAAATCCCTTAATTTGTCTGAATTAAAAGAGAATAAGGAATTATTAGTGATTGTAGAAATTAATATATTTAATTTTTACTTAAGTTTTGTTTTATTATTACTAACAGATTGTCGTCTGCAGCATATTTTTCCATTTTCCTTGACTGTAGTCATTCTACTTGTTTGTGCAATAAATATGCAATAAATCCTATTAACTATAATCATAATGACATTTATCAAAATTTAGCTACTCACACTTACATTTTGTAAAAACTTAAATTCTAATATAATTTGGATTTTGCTGCAGGCGATAGCTGTTTTTACATCGGTCTGGGAGATGCTAAGAATACGCCGGCATTCGAACCTTATCAATGCTGCCCAAAATCTCAAGTTCAGGCCAACAAGCCAAAACCTTCTAAAACAACCACCAGAGAAGCTAAAAATGACAAAACCAAAGAAAAAGTGAAGAAAAATGATAAATCAAAATCTTACGAAAAGTCTAATGGCAATAAGAAAAAAGATAAAAAGGGTAAAGATAATGGAAAAGGGTCCTGGTGGTGGTAAGAGATCATAAAAAAAATTAGAGGAATAAAGCACTATTCATTATAAAATAATATAATAAAATAAATAACTAAGTATTTTACTGTTATAAAGTTAAACATGGTTACAAAACATTTATTTTGAAATAAACCATAGCTATATCATACAATAAAATAAGGGGTCATGTTATAAATAGAAGTTAAATTCCAAGTAGATAAAGAAATCAAATTTTCTGTAAATATAATTATTTTCAAGTAGAACACATTTAAATTAACAAAAAAATTTTAAATATTAAGGTCTATCTTATACTAAAGTTAACTAGACCTTGTCTAAAGCTTAGTAAAGCTAGGCTTTATTACCCACGCCTACCTTAATAATGTATTCAACAATATTTATTCTTATATTTTATATTTCATAGACTTTGTAATTTTTTTCAAACATATAATTAAATAATTATATGCCTTCTAAATGACTAAAAACAAATATTATTTGTTTTATTTTATTATTAAATGTATACATTTAATTATTACTGTTAATATGGTACAAAATATATTTATATTATTATTAAATAAATAATATATATAGAATGAGTCTATATTTATGAAAATCCAATAACTTTTGGTCCCATAATCATTTTGCTGAATTTTGATTAACAATTTTTGAAATGTTAGATTATATTAATAGAATTTATTATTTGTTTGTAGTAGCAATTAAAATGAAAATAAAGTGTTTGTTGAGTTTTAAGCATTTTTAAACCTTAGTGGGATTGCAACATGAGTAAAGTGTACATACTCGTACACTAGTATTCACTCTTGGTATTAAAATGTTTTTAACTCAATAATTACTTATTCTAGATGTATTATTGAACCATCAGAAATTATTTGGAATATATATTATAAAAATGCATATTTTGAAATAAAAAAGTTATTTTTTATTATTATTAAAAACAAATAGTAAAAATTATTGTTTAAACTTAATCTAAAAATTTAAAAAATGATAAAATAAAATTATTATGAAATGATTGTTGGATCAAAAGTATTTGATTTTTCCATACTATTGTGACTTACCTGTATATATATATATATAGTAGTTATGATTATATATGTGTACATATATATTTTATGTAAAGTAATACATTTTTAATTTAAATCTTGACAAATATGACAAACGTTGTTAATACAAAATTATATTATTTTACTATAATAATTATATAAATAATAATGATATTTATTTAAAAAAAAGAAAATAATACTCAGATTGAAACAAAAGAAATTGTGAAGTAATTATAATGTACAATTATAATTGCTCTTTATTTTATTTAATTAGATATACTTTATATTTAATATTATTTATTATTATCTAAATATTTGTTGACGTTTAATTCATTATTAATTGAAATTGTGATTTTATAAAATTAACTTAAAAGGCTGTTATTTTATCCCCATGTACATAATGCATTGTTTTATCTGATTTTGCTCATATAGCTGCATTAGACTATATTTTATTTGCTTTTCCTCTAGAAATTGTAACATCATAAAATATAATAAGGAAATTTACTTAAGATTACATTGTTATACCAACATCTTTATATTTACAAATAATGTAATAATACATTATTAATTAATAAACTTACATTGTTTAATATAAAATACATAGCAAAATTTATTTTCCTTGAAAATTGTCCTCAAAAAAATTTATTTCAAAATATTATCTAGGTGTATAATTCTATTGAAATAAATATATCCAGTTAAGAATAACAAAATAATTAAATTTACATGTATCAAAAAAATAATCAATTTTGATTGAAAATTTAAGGAGATATTTCTGATGAAAAAGAGGTATTACGCTGGATGATTAAACAAAAAACTGATGAAAGTATAGAAAACATTGATAGAACAAAATTGTTTGACTATATTGACACTCAAGACTTTTTAGCAGTTGTATGGTGTAAGCTTTTATTTTGATTAATCACCTTATTATTATTATCAATTTTAATTTGATTTGATGGTCTTAAATTAAGTCTCTTAATTCATATAATGTGATTATAGATATTGAGGGTGACCCGAGAGTTCCGAGAGTTTTAAGACATATTGAACTAATTGATGATGAAGCAGCTGAATATGGTATTAAAGTAGTTAAATGCAGTGATAGATTGATGGCAAAAAAACACGGTTTTCGAAATCCACCAGGAATTTCTTACTTCCGAAAAACTAAGTACATAAACTATGATGGTAATTAAACAATTATTATATTTAATAATATTTTTTTCATAAGTGAATAGGTAAAATTTTATTAAAACACGTATTATTTTAGGTGACATCGATGACGATGAAGAAATTTTAGATTGGTTAACCGATCCTTCCAATATGGAGCTAACAGAACACATAGAAAAAGTAAATAGAAAAATGTTTTTAAAGATAAGACAAACCTCAGAAAACGTAGCCGTATTTTTCTGTGAGTACAAACATTTTGAAAAAATTGTAATTTGTTAAAAGATTAAAAACTGGTTAGGAATAAATGACCTTTAATTATAATTTTAAATAAATAATACTATTTCACTAAGTGTCTTATAATTCAAATAAAGCCAGAGCACAAAGTTGTGATCAGTATAGAACCTTAAGCTTGGTATCTCATGATTCTAAAATACTTACACGGATAGTTCTGAAATGGATAGAAAGAAAGATTGAAAATACTTTGATAGATGACCAGATCGGATTTAGGAGGAGAATGGAAACAAGAGAGGCAATACTAAGTCTAAGACAAGTAATAGAAAAAAGGAACAGAAAAGGAAAAGCTACTTATATATCATTTGTGGACTTGGAAAAAGCATTTGATAACGTAAATTGGACCATAATGTTCAGAATGTTAAAGAGAATTGAAGTGACATACAGAGACAGGAGAATAATTCACAGTTTGTACAAAAATGAGATAGGAGTTGTAAAATGTGGAGAGGCCAGAGAAGAAGCGAAATTTAAAAAGGGTGTAAGACAAGGCTGCTCATTATCTCCGCACCTATTCAATTTATATATACAGGAGGCAATTAACAAAATTAAAGACGAGAGCAGGGTTGGTATCAACATTTATGGAGAAATAATAGACATGTTAAAGTTTGCAGACGACATTGTCATTAAAACCGAAAATTAAACAAACCTGAAAGTAATATTAGAGAACATGAACAGAATAATGAGTAACGAATGTAATATGAGAATAAACAAAAAGAAAATAAAGATTCTAGTCTACAGTTGGAACACAGAACACATCAGAACAAACGAGATTGAAATTGATGGGGAAATACTTGAAAGAGTGAATGAATATAAATATCTCGGGAGTATAATAACAGAAGATGGAACCCGCAAGAGAGAAATAAAAAGTAGAATAGCTCAAGCCAAACAAGCATTTAATAAAAAGAAAAGTTTGTTTACATCAAGAAACATAGATTTAAATATAAGAAGAAGGCTTGTTAAAACCTATGTATGGAGTGTTGGACTATATGGAAACGAAACATGGACAATTGGAAAGAAGGAAGAAAACAGTTTGCTAGCTTTGGAGATTTGGTGCTGGCGAAGGGTATTGAAGATAAGTTGGATGGATCACGTAACAAAAATGACGAAGTATTCAGAAGAATTGGAGAAAAATGAAGTTTTTTAGAACATTTAAAAAAGATAAGACTGAAATTCATAGGACATTCCTTAAGATACAATAGGCTAATGACAAGAATGACAGAAAGCATGATAGAGGGAAAAAACACAAGAGGCCCCTAGAATACATTAAACAGATTCAAAAAGATGTAAATGCAACATCTTATTATGACCTGAAGAGGAAAGCGGAGAATCGAAATGAATAGAGAGTTGTTTCAAACCAGCCGAATGGCTGTTGACGAAAAAAAAAATTATAATTTTAAATAAATAATACTATTTCAAAGAAAATAATTTGTTTTTCATTATCGTGTTTATACATTTAAAAATAACTATGTATTAAAAAATACCTGATTTATAAAAAATATTCCATGCACCCTATTGAGTTAATACTAATAACTAATTAATTAAAAAACTATTCATACAAACAATTAATATTTAGATAGTGATGATTGTAAACAATGTAAACAAGTTCTAATGGAAATCGAGCATATCGATGACGATGCTGATGCTGCTGGTATAGATTTTGTTAAAATCGATGATAAAAAATTAGCAAAAGAATGTGGAGTATTTGCATTGCCAGCGATAGTTTTCTTTAAAATTGGTTCAAAAGAACCTACTATTTATGCAGGTATAACATTATTACAATCTAAATTACTGAAAACTAATTTTACTTGTTTATTAAATTAAAGAAAAATTAATATAATACTAGTTATAGAGCTATAATAGTTAAAATATCTTTATCAATCTATTTTTCCATTACAAAACATTTATATAGAAAATACATTTGTATTGAAGAATAATATCATACTATTTACACGATTCCATGTATAAATACATAATATTTAATAATAATAATTGTTTCTAAAAATTAATTCGAAAATCATTTTTAAATGATTTTGGGTTTTTATTACAAATTTCACATAGATTTTAACTTTTAATAGGAAACTTATATGAAGAATCAGATATATTAAATTGGCTTATGGTGCAAAAAAATCCTCACGGTGAAATAATTGAAGAGCTTGAAGGTGTAGAGTTAAGAAATGTAATTTCGTCATCGGAATCAATTGCGGTATACTTTTGTAAGTATAACATTATATACTTAATCAATAAATAAACTATATCAATTTAACTAAACCAATCTAAACAAAAAAATAAAAAATATATAATTGACAAATGTAATTATGACGAATGTGAGTGCTTAATGGTATATAGGGAATCAAACACTGTGTGACCGCTGTAAAGCGTCTTACACAAAAACATTTCGCAGACATCATAAGTCGCAACAGCCAAATGAAGATAAAAGCAACAAGCCAAAAAAGGATATAAAACCAGAACTTTCCACACAAACAATTGTTGACAATGATGAAATAACTGACAATAACGATGATGATGTCGATATTGATAATGATAATAATGAGAATGATAATATCGATGATTTTGAAGATGAAGTAAACAATGAAAATGGTATACTACCAATAAAATTTATTTCTTAATCCGCACACAAGACTGCGATTTATCGCTTTTAGATAGTTTTGATAATTTAAAAGTGCAATCTGTACAAATTTAGTTAAAAATTTTAATTATTTTAGCTTCGATGCGAAATTGAGAAGGTATTAGTTTTACTATGATGTGATTTTTTTGTCTGTTACCACTTTTTCTCAGCTCTCACCGAACCGATTTCTTTCAACAATACGTCAAAAGATTACAAATAGTATCTAATCGATGACATTACCCTCAAAAATTGAAAACATTTCTTTCATTCCTCGCAAATGGGTGAAATTTCTAAAAAAATTAAATTCATTAAATTTTGTTATTTTTTTCACTTTTTTTTTTTTAACTTCGATAACTTATTCAAAAATTAACAAATCAATATACTTTTTTTTTATATTAAAACCTTAGTTATTTCACTTTCATTTGATATCGTTTTTTTGAAAATCTAATAATCTAACAATTAACCTTAACTCCGGTTACCTTTCAATACGAATATATATTTTGACATTTACTAACAATTAACCTGCTTAAAGGGGGGGGATTTAAAATAGCAACTTTTTTACTAAAACTAACTTTTGAAAATATGAATCATTGTCAGATATCATTATACTTGACCCAACTATGCCACGTCACCATTGTGCTGTGACCCCCCTGTGCTGAGTTTTTTATTTTAAGTTTAACTATGCCCAAAATTTTATTAAACCTATATTAAAAAACTAAGAGTAACATTTAAAAATAGTAGTAAATAAACCTAAAAAAGTAAAAATATTGAAAGTTTAATACTTATTTTAATATAGCCATCAAATATTTAGTTTATTTCATGTAATATTCTGCATGTGTAGAAATGTATTTATTGAATATATAAAATTATATTAATTAATAATATGAAGTAGAATCAATTGTAAACTTTGAAAAATAATACTTTATCTATAAATTACAGATAACGAAGACGAATGTGATCAGTGTACAAATATATTGGAAGAACTAGAAAATATTGATGATGATTGTGAAAGACATGGGATATCATTTAAAAAAACACAGGTATTCATATTTAAACAAATAAAAACAATAGATAAATTTTATTCAGTCAATCAATCAAAGTATTAATTAGGATATGGAAGCAGTAGAACTATATGGAGTTTCAAAATTGCCATCTTTAGTATACTTTGAGCACGGAGTACCAAATTTATTCGGAGGTTGGTAAATTCATCAATTTAGACCAAGGGTCTTATCTATATTGACACATTTTAACACATTAAGGCGATTTGAAAGAAGAAGAAGAAGTGTTACAATGGTTGATTACGCAAAGAACAGAGGACAGAATTGAATTAGTAACTCGAGCAATGTTAGAATCACTTATCGAAGAAACACAATATTTGGCAGTCTACTTTTGTAAGTTCAAAAATTTTTTTTGCTTGGAATTAAATTAAAAATAATGAAGATTATTTTGAGACATGTTTTTAATATTTATAATAGTAATAGTTATTTATTCAGGATATTCCTGTTTCAAACTTGTAATATTTTAAAAATGTATTAAAAAGACAAACAGGCTTGTCAAATTTGCGATCAAATTCTCGATGATTTAGAAAAAGTTGACGATGAGTGCGACTTGTATGGTATACACATGGTGAAAATTCAAGACCCTCAATTAGCTAAGAGATATTCGATCAAAACTTTTCCTGCACTGGTATACTTCAGAAATGGAAATCCTCTATTGTTTGAAGGTAAGATAAATATAAATAAACCGTAATAAATCATGATCCAATTATCTGTCAACTTAATGAAGAAATATAACTTTAGGAGATTTGCAAAATGAAGAATCAGTTCTTGAATGGTTAATTGATGATGATAATAGGGAACTTGCCGATGAAATTGAAGAAGTTAATAGTCGTATGCTAGAAAGGCTTCTTGATGAATCACTACTTTTAGCTGTTTTTTTTTGTAAATTTAAATTTTTTTATTAAATTTAAAATATATTAATGATTAAATTAATCCTTTAATATGTACTCTAGATAATGAAGACTGTGAAGATTGTGAAGATATTTTAGAAGAATTAGAAATAATTGATGGCGAAGCTGATTTATTTGGTATTGATATGATCAAAATATCCGATCCAGATGCAGCTTCAAAGTATAATATTATGAGTTTACCATCTTTGGTCTACTTTCGAAAAAGAGTACCTCAAATTTATGATGGTAAATCTGTTTGTTTTACAAATTTAGCGCTAATCAAAAATTGAAACAATAATTAAATAATAACACATAAAATAAAAGTTTTTAAAGGAAAAAGTAGTGACGTAACAATTTTTTTGAATATTGAATTTAAATTTAAAATTACATTAATTCTAATCAAATTTAATATTTGCTTTTAAATGCCAACTAATAAATAGGTACTAGTTAAAAGTTGGCATACTAGAAACATTTTTGATAAATTATTAAATTACTAGCAATGTAATGATCATCAAATAATGATTCTCTTTTTTGGTTATTATATAAGTTTTTAAACAAAAATTATTATTGTAAGAGTCTCCTGGATCTTCTGCCTTTGTGACTCAACATAGCTTAATTTGACTTGCTTACTAATGTGTTGGTCAGACATTAAAAATTATCATAAAATTATTGATCGATTATTTAATTATCTTTTGAAGGCGATTTAGCAGACGAAGACAAAGTACTGTCTTGGCTTACTTCTCAAGATGTGTTTGAGATTAAAAATGAGATCGATGAAGTGAATAAAAAAATGCTCACCAAATTACTTAATGAAAATGAATTTGTTACTGTTTTCTTTTGTAAGTATTTTATTATTTTAATTATTCAAAATTTAACCCTAAAATATATTTTAGCTTCGATATGTAGCTAAGAAGATTAAGTTACTGATTTCGAATAAAATATTTTAATTTTACGTAACGTAATGATTTAACTGATACTTAAAAAATTTAGATGAAAATGACGTTGTAGAAAGTGAAGATGTACTATCAAAGTTGGAAAATATCGATGATGAAACTAGCACAATGGATATAACATTTGTAAAAATGGCTGATGCCAGATATGCACGTAAATGGGGAGTAACTAAACTTCCCGCAATAGTTTACTTCCGGAATAAATTTCCAAGTATTTATAGAGGTAGAATTTATAATTTTGACAAACTAAATAACAATTAAATATTAAAACATATTTATTTTTTTTTATAATAAAAATTATTCAATTTAAATAAGAAAATTCCAGACTTTGGTCGCCAAATAAGTTTACAGAAGCACAACTCAAATCATCAAATGTTGCCATTCTGGCATTGCCAAAAAGGCAACATATTCAAACACTGGCCCCATTGACAACAATATTCAAAATATGGAATTTAGTAGATTTTTTTACTAGACCCCTCGTCATAAAAATTTGATATGCATTTATAGTTATATTAAAGCATTTTTAAAGGAGGGTAAATTACAATAAGTACCCCAAAATATTTTTAATATTTGCTCCTGTATTTATTATTCTATTAAGCGGTGTTGGTCTGAATCATTATTGGGCCCTATGATATAATTTTTAGTTGGCCCCTAATAGAGTATATTGGAATATTTCATGAGGATCAGAATGATTTCCTGGCAATTTTATAAAAACGTAGAGCGGTTGGGAATATTATTTCTTCAAGCTCCTATCGTTTTCATACTATTGGTGCCTCCAAACCTCTTGCCTTCAAAATTTGCTATTTCCCAAGAAACATAATTTTGAATTAATAACAAAGTTGATCAATTCAATTATATTTTTATAATAACACTATTTTATATTTAATTTTGAATAATATTAAAAAAATTATTCAACATAATAAAATGTGCATATATAACATTTTATTGTATAGTTTTTATAATAATTAAGGAATATTATTTTTAAATCTGAATAATTAATTAAACATATATCTATTAAATTAATTTCTTATAAAAAATTGTTAAAACTTTATTTCTTATTTAATAAAATTTTCCTTATTTTTCCACTTGTGAATGACTTAAATTATGATTTTGATAACGTTTGGCTCCCATAATTGGCAAATATCCAAATGTCCTCATTATTATCAGGCTAGCCAGAATGACACTAACATTAATGAACAAATACGTATAAATATATAGAACGAAAATAAGTATAGAAACAGATAAATTATTATAAATAATGAAAACATTAGAAACTTTTATCCTTATTTTTTAATACCCTATACTTAAAAGTAGTTATAAATTCAAAGATCCATACAAATTATAATTTTACTATTAATTTTTGTTACATATTTAAATCAATTTTACCTTTATACAGGACGTCTTGATTCCGAAATTGAAGTACTGGAATGGTTGAAGAAAACTCGTTACCGTGAACCTGAACTTAATCTGTTTATGTATGTTATGATAACAATATCGTTAGCTTTCGTTTTGTACACAATATTGCTAGTCTATGGTTTCAAAAAAATTACTTGCACGCAAGTTAAACCTACATGAAAAAAAAAATTCATTATCTTTTTTTAGAGTAAATTAATTCAAATATTTAAAATTAAAAACAACAAGACTAATTGTGGGTAACAAAACGTGTTATTTTCATCTTAAAGGGGTACCATCTAAAAAGAGGAATAGTATTCAATATAAAATAAAAATTTATGTTATCGATAATTTTACCACTTAGAAAATGTTCAAATGCATAATTTCTGATGTCATTATTGAATATTGTTCCTTTTTTATCAAAAAATTTTATAATTTTATCAATATTTTCCATTCTTGGGAATAACACAATTAGACTTACTGCCCTACAATTGTCTTAACGAAACATAAATATTTTAAAGATAAAATTTTATAAATTCCAGATGTAGTTAGTACATCAGTTTAGTTAGTACAATATTCAATAAAAAATATTTTTTTACATTTTTTATGATTATGACTACATTATATTTTTTGCAATATTTTTAACTTTAAAGTAAAATAAACAAGAATTTAAACTAAATGTGTAGATTAAGTGCTATGTAAATTATTTAATTATTATTATAAAAAATATATTTGTTCATTTTGGTGACTGTATGAAATTATTTTATAAATATAAGATGCATGTTAAATTTTAAATACCTACCTAATGTTCTAATTTTCCATATTAAAAATTTTTTTTTTATTCTAACTATTTAAGAAAATAGTAAGACAACAATAGCCATAATAATAAATTTGGTATAGGTTGTCAATTATTGTTTAATACTAATTGACCAACCAAAAAAATTAAAAAAATTTTTTTTAGAATACAATTATTATTAGGACCCTTATGTCAGGTGGGTAGGCCCTACCTTGTTTCCATAGATAAGTCTAGGAAAAAATGTTTTATACTCAAATTATGAAAAAAAAAAAAGAACCGTCGTCCTATAAATCATAATTTTAATAATTATAATCATGTCTTAAATTTTAATCCTGAGTACACCTCTGGATTTTAGTATACTAAAATGTATCGTCAAACATAAAGTAAAACTAGTATAATTAAATGTTTAAGAGCAAAAAATAATGATTATATTTCTAGTTGACAAAAAAAAGAAAAGTAAAACGTACTGTTTAAAAATAAAGTAATAAAGTACACTGGTTGAAAATATGTAGAATATATTAATTTTAACTCGTCTGTTGCCAAGTGAATATAATTTTTTTTTCTATATATATAGTAAATATTCTATAAAATCATTGCAGTCTACCGTTACATATCAACTGTAAGTTTTTTGTTGTGTTTGTGATTTTATTTTGAGTTTTGGGTCACCGCGAGAGCAGCCGAGCTCGAGTGAATTAGATGCATTCTTGTGACCTCGACAGCGCTTGGTCTGGAGGCGGTTTTTGCATCCGAGTCAAAGTACTCGTCATCACATGAGTGCTTAAGCCGAGACAAACCGAGAATATACTAGTGCCCTTGTACTTCTTCGTCAAGACAAAATGCTTAGCGACTGGGCAAGAGTACTGCTACCATTTCAGAAGTAAGCAATAGATCGAGGCTGAGACAAGTTGATTAACTTTTCGTTTAGATCGACAAAATATATTGACTATTCGATACACGTTTGTTCAAGCAGGCAAATAAGGATTTTATGGAAATGGAGATAAGCTATACAATCAAGCCTTCCTATTCCATCTTCGTTATGTTGCGAGATTGTTTGAAAACTCAGAGGCTGTACATTTTCAGCGTTTATCCAATTGGGCGCGCTATAATTTATATCTTCATCGTCTGAGACTAGTATCATAAGTAATCGAAAATAACAGTTGTCCTATATGCTCAAATAAAAAAAAGTCCTATTTCTCCTTTAAAATTGTATTGACTTTTGTTTTTTTAAAGGAAACATATATGCTTAACCAATCTACAAATAAGAAAATGACTGGTCCTTAACAACTTTTGAACCAGTATTTTGGAAATTACAAACACTTATATATAAAGACTAGAAGTGAAACACGGATCTATTTATTTTTATCTTTAAGCTTTTATGTACCGCAATACTATTCTTGCCGTGATATAAAAATAACAATACTTTTTAAAATACTAGTTCAAAAGTTGTTATCGACCAGTCATTTTCTTATTTTTAAGCTGGTTAAACGTATATTTTTCTATTAAAAAAGACATAAGTCGATGCAGTTTTAAAGCGATGAAGGGGCATTAAGACTATAAACACACTTTTATAATATAAAATAATAAATAAATATTACTACTATATAGATATTTAAAAGTATTTAATAAATCATACATTAATATGCACTCTTCGAGAATCACATTACAACTTTTATTAGAACTATATTAAACTAACAACAAAATTTTATAGTGGAAATAATGATAACCTTATAAGGCAAATTTTTTTTTATAAACGTGGGATACTGTTAATTTATGAAAGAAAAAATTATGTGCTGTTTTATTTATTTAAAGTTATTGTATGAGTCATAGTTAAATAATCACCCTGCCTGGGTTCTGTTTTTTACACACTTGATCAGCTTTTTTCTTTTGTTCTTTATTTGTCAAGTTTTTCTTGTTGAATTTTGCTCATTAACACGCTTTTATTAGTTTCACTTGTATGTATGTATGTATGTATGTATGTATGTATGTATGTATGTATGTATGTATGTATGTATGTATGTATGTAT